AAAAATGTTTTAGTAACCAAGTTTTTTTCTGAATATAGGTATCACACCGCAGCCTTTGTCAGCACGCGGAAATAGAATTACGGCTTGTAAAGGGACCAACTAATAAACCGCTGAGACAAATACAGACGTTTTCACAAAACGGTATCAATTTTAAAGTACATAATTTACCACTAATTTTTAATAGTATAAATAAAAATTGGTGTGAAAAAATAAAAGTCGAAATCCCAAAATTGTCCATAAAAACGATAACTAACATTTTATTAAATCAATGAGTTCACGCGCTCCGTGTATTTGCGTATTTTTTGTCTGCGGCTTCATTGTTAAAACGTGACAAACTGGCATCGAAGTCCAAGCCCCGCCCTTTTCCCGTCGCCCGCGCACCGCTCGCTCTTTCCGAAAAGGAATAGTTTTGATAAAATAGTTACTTCAAAACCAATTTAAAATGATTATGAAATTACTGTTTTATAAAATTAGTAGTTATTTGCAAGAAAAATTACAAAATTAATTGCTCTGCAATATTGCTTATTCGGCCTTTTTAGAGAGGCAGTGTTTCTCTCGTGAAAAACAATTGAATAAAACGTGCTGTGTTTGTCTTCAAATCGAAAGAGGACAATTAAAATATCTGTAAGTTACTAAGTTACCTATCTATACAGGCCGTTGTGATCAACCGACTAGTACACGTAAACAAAATACTTAAGTACTATAACAAAAAAAAAGGTAGGTTACTTACTTTTCTCCGGCACTAGCAAACACAGATATAAATTTTCTCACAACTTTTTTTCCAAATTCCGCCTTTTTTTCGAAATTCCGGAAACAAATGAATGCGTTTGCCTTTGGCATCAAGTATTTATAGTGGTGATCAAGTTCATGTCTGAACAAGCATTAAGCATTGTCGGGCGGATAGCGCTTTGCAAGTCTGTACACGAAATTGTACGTAATATCGAATACGCAAGTTTGGACAAGTAACAGTCGCTTGCCTTATTAAAATATTATCTGCTTAGATAGGTACTTAAAACAATGTAGGTAGGCCCTTATAAAAACTATGCTTACATTTTTGCTCTTTACTATCAAAAGCAGATAAATTTTCGTGGACCCCCATTAACATCTTATGGACCCCCATTTTTTGTTCACGCCTACGTAGACCCCCAGCAAGTCTCCCGTGGACCCCTGGGGGTCCACCTGGACCACTTTGGGAATCACTGCTCTAGACATTTTCGAACCGATCGATGTGCACATAGTGCACACACTTTTTTTTTAAATGATTTTTGTCAACCCTGATAACCAGGGACGAATGTACTATCCGAATCAGTGCAGCAGGCTGACAAACGTAAAATACGTTGCAAAGAATATATTAATGTCTTATTAAATAATAATTATTTCTTTTATAGAATTGAATTTTAAACGTCTTTATTTATATTATGATTCCCCTAATTCTGATTCTACATTAATCAAAACCAGCTTAGATACGTGTTTCTGAATTTTGGTAGATTACAATATCTACAAAAGTATACTTTTGTGACCCAATTTTTGGAATCACAAGCTGTTAGTAATTAATATTTGATTGTTATAATTAGTCTTGTTTCTAATGCCGACATAATAACATGAATAAATAACATGAATCGAAGTTTATCACCTTTAACCCAAGTAAATAAACAATAAGAGACTACAGCAATTATGAGATTCTTCAAGATGACTGGTCATTGATCATTAGGGTATTGTGATTTCTAAGTAATGTGTTATTGACATCAGTACAAATAATTAGAGAGATAAAAGTTGTACACTCAGATACAAAAAAACGCAACGGGAAACATTTTCGTCAAGTTTAAAGTGTTATATTTTTTATTTTTAGAGCTCGAACACACTGACGACCAGGTTGCACCGGCCAGGCCGCTGCTCCCTCTAAAGCCATTAAATCAAATGATACAGCGCACCAGATGGATGACACTTCTTATGGGAGAACTGACAATGGTTGAAAACTTGACTACAAGCGATTTTCTAGGAATCTTCCTTACCGATAAATTATTGACAAGAGTGACAGATAAAACCTTGACGTTCTTTCAGTGTTCCAGTTCATCTCTTTTTCTTTCTAAAGTGTGCGTTGAAAGGAGACAAAAATAATTTTAGGTAACCCATAATTTGTTATTCGAACACCACTTTTCTCCTTGTCGGGTCGTTGACGTTGACTTGTCGCCATTTTATTTCTTTTGTTTACACGCTACATTTTGCTTTGCAAATTTAATACATAAATTATTTAGGCAAATATAGGTTTTTAATAAAACTCCTCGGACTAACGAGTAGGTAAGTGTTGATATTTTTTTTTTCATCTTAACATGCTCATTGTCGTTCTCCTGATTTTAGGTGACAGAAAAGGATCATCAAATAAAATTGAATTTTATATTTTCCTTCCTATTTATCCTTCCTAAATATCAACGAGATGAGCCATCGGAAGAAAGGGACCATAGTACAAAACAGAAAGGTGATCTTTTTTCTTTCCACTTCGGATATTGAAATTATTATATACTGTAGTCGTGTTCGGCATTATGCTCTGAGAAATATAGATAAACAAAGAACAACAGATATAAAGCATCCCAGAGGAAAAGAGAGGCAATACCTGTATGTACTCTCTCTGATATTTGTGAAAGTTACAGCAAAGTATTGTTGTAAATGTCATCTTTTTGATCGACCTGAAAACTTCGAGCAAAAAGATGACACTTTCAACAATACCCTGACAGATATCAGAGACGATACAGGTTTTTCCTCTCTTTTCCCCTGGAATACTTTTAATTTATTATTCTTTGTTTATCTAGATTTCTCAGAGCACTATGAACGAACTCAGCTTGTATGTTTGAAATAATCGTCCAGTTGGCTTAAAAATGATGATCGAAGACATTTCCCATATAATTTTACTTTCAAAATTATGATATATCTTTTATTTCTAAGCCATCTATGACGCCATTTTTTTCAGTTTTGTTATAATTAATTTTGTCTCTTGATCTACTTGTAACATTATTCTTTTAATTTTATTAATTTATTGTGGTGAAATTAATTTCTGTTGTATATTTGATATTGATATTAAACATATTTTTAAAAAATGGTGTATTTTTTGTGTTTTTGTGAATGTCATAATTAAAAATAAATGAAGAAATAAAATTTTTTATTTTTTTGAACTTCCCGCCATGCGTGACAATTTAGTCCGTAGTTTCTACAAGCGAAATTGGGGGCGCTAATAGCAGTAGACTTGTCAACAGTGTCAAATTTAAACGTCAATTTCACTTTCCAATATTTAGCAAGGCGCTCGCACTTCTTCTTGTGTATGTGTTTTGTGGTCCTGGCCGTCCGTTGGTCGTTGCGACCAGTACACTGCACTGAAATATTATTTCCTGCCGCTTGCGCTTGTTGCCGGTTTTCTTCCAAATTAATAATTTTTCAGATGAAATCCCTCAAATTCAACGCACAATATTTTATTTTCTATAAGATATAGTGTTTTAGTGTAGTTTTTGCACACGTGCAGAAAATCCAAAGAAATAGTATACAGACTGGATCAAAGGAAAACTTAAATCTAGTCCCTTTTTTTATCAAGGGTCGATTCTAGTAAAAAAACTACAGTTTGCTTGTACAAAAAGATTGTTCATGCATGCAATATTTATTAAAACCAAGCCTGTATCGTTACTTTTTAATGGTTTTTAAATTTTAATATAGTTCTAATGAAGTGTCGATATGACATTATGGCAATAATCACCAAAACCATCTTGTGATATTAAAAAACAAGGCATGTGTTGATATCAGTCAAAAAGCAAAATATTCAGGAGACATGGTTCTGACCCAAAAATATTGTTTTGGGAAATTATTGCACAGGGTGTTTTAAAGTTAAGGTAGAAAACAACCCTTCAATTAACTCTGTATAATTAGCCAAATACTAAAGTTTATAAAAAACGGAGTTTATGAATTAAAGCTGATAGATTTATTTTATATACAGTTTGTTAAAAAAACCAAGGAAATAGGGCTAAAAATAAAATGTGCATTCAATATTCTTTTGTAGTAATAATTAACTATGTACTTAGTAGACCTAGAAAAATTTCCTTTATTGGTAAGCATTTGACCTTGTTAAATTACATTATAATAAACGATGATTAGATATAATTTCTAAAGTTCTAAACTTGAGAATGTAATTTATTAATAAATATAGGTATTATTTTATATCAAGTTCCTGATATTAGTTATTCAATTATACAACTAATGATGACATAATCCGACTATCACACCCAACTATGTGTTTAATACTAGGTAAAAATACTAGGTTAAAGATAATCGGAGTTCTAAATCTCTCTCTCATATTATTGATCATAATCTAAGCTGCCTATCTATTTTAAAAATGGATTGCTAATTGATCATTATACATCTTTGGGCGTACTATACATAAATCAATTAATTTATTAATATAAATCAGTTAACAATGATATTCAAAGATGTAAAAAGAGGGGGAGGCTCGGGGGGAGGTGTAATTTTTAATATTTGATAAAGCTTTTGAGATTTTCTGTGAAAACATCAAACTTATCTATCCATTTTAAGTACATATTAAGTTTACTAATTAACATATTGTTTTGCTTTTTATTACTTTTTAAAACAATACTTGAATGAATATTGTTCTAAAAACAGTTACAATATGGGTGTCATTTATACAATTAATAAGTTAATTATAAGCGCCTAAACATATTCTTCGAATTTGATAAAAGAAATAAAAGCATAAAAAGGTAGGAAATAGAATGAGAATGTAAAAAAAATCAATTAATCAGTTCATTCTGCTTATAGCCAGTTTTGATTAGACCAGAAATATGTTTGATTATAACGTGAAATGGAAAATGATTTAGCATATAAGTACATATTTATTTTTAACTATAAATCTGTAGAATGCTACTGTAAAGGTGTAAACGTTTTACATACGTTTATATAGAGCAATATAAATCTATAAATTGAAAAAAAAACTAATTATATTGACTCACTTGCAGAAGCCACCCTATGGATTGGTGTTGATTTCTTGACGGAATCTTGACTAATTTGATGAACTTTTAAAGATGGAAATGGGAGTTTTGGAGCACAATTCGAAATAATTTAAACTTTGTAACTTTATACCATTTCGTTCGAATTAAATTTTAAAGAGAAATATGATTTCTCTCTATGAAGCACGATTGAATGACATTTATGACATGTGACAGATCATGGAAAAGAACATCATGGAACATGGAAAAGTTAAAACCACAGATAACATGTAAACTTGGAACATTGTATAGAGTCAGTGTCGCCAATAGCACTATAATTATGATCATGGATTATGTCGTGTATTACATCTATATACGTAATTTTAAAATAAATGAAATTAAATTTATAACTAATTATGTCATTGGTTATGCATAAATACATTTAATGTACGTATAAATTGCATTTATAAACTCTTGTAAACTTAAATTAAACAATTTAATATTGGCAACATTGACCCGCGGAAAAATTGGAATCTTCTTTCTTTGTCTATGATTCAGAAAGTGAGGTTAGTCACCGGGTTTTTGATTCTTGTTTTCGTTAAAAGATTTTTAAATAATTTTAGTTGATATATTACCGCATTTTACCTTTTAGAAAAGATGGAAATTTCAGACGAAAATCTACGCACCTTGGGCAAATACTTATTTGAAACATTAAATGCCGATGTTACCGTCCGTAGAACAGGTAAACACTTTATAAAATTAATTTTACTTTTAAAATAGTTTTAAAGCATTATTTACACAATGTTTTATATTTTTAGCGGAAAAATTTCTAGAAGGTGTCGAAGTTAATCAAAATTATCCTCTTTTATTGCTTCATCTTGTTCATCAACCAGAAACAGATATGCTGATCAGAACAGCCGGTGCCATAGCTTTTAAAAATTATATCAAGCGAAATTGGACTGTTGTATGTATATTATATAAATTCGTACCTTCTGTTTACTTATAGTGTGAGTTTGTTTATTATTAGGTTGAAGATCAGGCAGATCGTATTCACGAATCTGATAGAACTTCGATAAAGAATCTAATAGTAACTATTATGCTTACGGCCCCTGATAATATACAAAAGCAATTGAGTGATGCTATAAGTATAATTGGGAAGACTGATTTTCCTACAAAATGGCCACAATTGATAACAGAAATGGTTGAAAAATTTGCTATAGGTTGTCCTATTCTTATTTTTTATAAATTTTGAATTTTTATTACTTTTCTTTGTATATCTAGGTGATTTTAAGATAATAAATGGGATATTACGTACGGCACATTCCTTATTTAAAAAATATAGGTATGAATTTAAATCAAACGAGCTATGGACTGAGATAAAATACGTCTTGGAAAAATTAGCAAAACCTCTAACCGATCTTCTTGTGGTAATATTTGTACTAAGAAATTGTATTTTTCTTTGAATTATAACGTTTTTAGGCAACAGCAGGTGTTATTTCTGCAAATGCATCTGATATTGTAGCATCACAATTAATTTTCAGCTCGCTAGTGTTAATAGCCAAAATCTTTTATTCTTTGAATTTCCAAGACCTTCCAGAGTTCTTTGAGGATAACATGGAAGTTTGGATGAATCATTTCCATGCTTTACTGAATATTGAACAGGATACTTTGGAAACACCCGTAGGTTTTTTATTATTATTACTGAGTGTATTGTATTTTATAGGGTTTTTCTTTTACGAATAGTAATACAAAAATGCTGTTTTCTCATTACTATGCTTCTTTTTTTATGAAACTAAAGATGCTACACACTTATTTGTCCTTGCCATCTTTTTTTCCAAATTTACCTTTCTAAGAGGGCTAGAGGCAAAAGTAGCATAGTGATGCGAAAACCTCATCTTCACATCTTTTATAATAAACGAAAAATCACATGCAAATGAGCCAACCTGTACTGAATATTATTTCCTGATTTAGGGAATAGATGAACCAGGTGTTTTGCAAATGCTTAAATCCCAAATTTGCGATAATGTGGCACTTTATGCTCAGAAATATGATGAAGAATTTCAAAAATATTTACCACAGTTTGTTGAAGATGTTTGGAGTTTGTTGAGCAAGACTGGATTGCAACCAAAATATGATTTGGTGTGTTAGAAGTTTTAATTAATAAAATAAAAAAATGTAATTAATTATATTTTTAGCTGGTTTCCAATGCATTGCAATTCTTATCAACAGTAGCAGAAAGAACTCATTATAGGAACTTATTTGAAAATCCTAGTGTTCTAAGCAGTTTATGTGAGAAGGTTGTTATTCCTAACATGGAATTTAGGGGTAAGTTTATAACTATCTGATTTTTATACAACAAAATATAATATTTGATAACAGAAGATCTTTCAATATTGAACATTTTGCAGAAGAATTCTTTTTTAATTTATAATCAATAGTAAAGAAAGACTAAATATCATAGTTTTGATCTTACAATCTAAAATTTTACAGTAGTCTATGTAAAACAATTGCTTATCGTATGTATGATGTAAGCAAGAGTTCCCCAAAAAAAAATATTCCATATAATTTTTGTTATAGTATTTTATTATTGATTCTTTTTTGTTTTTATGTATCAATCAGAATTATTATTATACAGGGTCTCCCAGGAATAAGTGTAGGTATGTTAATTGGTAGTATAGTCCGACCCCAGAAGCACGCCCATGAGGTTTTTTTTTGACATTCTTCTTTGAATAAAAAGTTTGAGGAAGGAGTATATCAAAAATCTTAGAACGAACGCGACGGGCTCCTAAAATGGCCGACTTAAATTCCCGTTTATCAGTGCCGTTCTAATTTTATTCCAAACGTGACAAAATATGATGTAGGGTAGACTCAATAATTTGTTGTTTTATTTTACGTTGTGAATAAATGTTGGTAGTTATTAAAATTGTTATGAAAATATATAATTCTGATAAAAATAGATAATTTATAATAATTGTTTATTAACACAAACATCCGATACGCTACTGAAGCAGGTAAGTCAAATCGACGTATCTAAATTCTTTGACATCTAATCTTTGACAAGTAGTAAATGAAAACGAAAATGCAAGAAAAAATATATAATTAGTTAATTTAAGTGAATTCCATAAATGATCAGTTTACTGCAAGTATGTCTATTATATAGTCACTTACTAGCGAAAAGTTATTCCATTATTTTACTCGATTTTTCACTCGAGACAACCAACTATTTTACAGTATTTTTCGATAAATCGCTAGTGTCACTAAATAGTGTTACTGTTAATTTAAGTTCTGTCACAATTTCCATCTAGATTTACTACCTTTATACAACTATCATTAATAGAATAAATAATAAATAACATAAAATAAGCTCAGTAAAGACTGACAAATCCACAAAATTTCAAATCAAATTTAAATGCGTCAAATGAATCGTCAAACGGGACTATCAAGGATCCCCACCCTAGAGTCCTTTTTCCGTCCACCATGCATGAATACATGGATAGCATTATACTCCTTCCTTAATCTTTTTATTCAAAGTTTTGAACAATATTTATAGCTGCCAAGTCGTAAATTATCAACGAGATTGATGAATTGATGAATTTGAACAACCGTTGATGAATTTGTAGAAGAAGTTGTTTTCACTAGAGAATAAGAGAACGCACAAAATCACAATTTTGTCTATTTTTACTGACAGTTCGACAAGCAAAACGATCCTTTAAGGTAGCCGTTTTTAAAACGCTTAGCGCAAAGGGTAAAGAGGCGCTAAGCGCGTCAGATGAGATTACCCAAATCGGTAGTCAAGTTCGCGCTAAGCTAAAATTAACGTCATATACGCTGGGCGTATAAAAGCGTTTAGCTGTTTCTAAGTTACAGAATTCGAGCCATCTACCACCCCTTGAAATACTTGCACTAATTTCTGTGACACCCTGTATATTTGATCTTATTTTGAAATGAGATTGGTTAAACCCACGGCCACACAGAAAGCGTTTTTAGCGTTTTGCGTTTTTTGCGTCTCAAGCGCTTTTTGCGATTTTTTTCGATTTGTGTCCATTAAAAACACGCAAACGACGCAGAAGGTCTGTAGTTTCTGTCAAGATGTTAATTAGTAATGTCGCAAGCTCGTTGATTCCCGGCCCGTTCAACAATCAATCCTGTGAGAAAGAGATAGGCGAGATCGGCGCGGTTAGCGTTGGAGAGACGAAGATAAAAGATGCTGGGATTGAATTGTGGACGGGCAGGGGCATATATTCGGCTACAAACACAACCTTGTGTTACCACTAACCTACTGTTAGCGCCAGTGGTGTGTGTAAAAATAATAATTATTATTATTTGCTATTTATTTTACGAATTTTAGTTGATATGTGTATAGTTTTTTTATGTTGTAGTGTTGTGGTTACTTGTTATAATTATAATATAATATAATAAATACTTATAATTATATAATAGAATAGTAAATATTACTAGTTGCTAACGCAATTTTAGGACATGATTTATGAAACTTTTTGGAGTGAAACTTAATTTGAGTTAAACTTCCCGCACGCTGGGAGTAAAAATTCAAGGCCGTGACATACGAGCTAGCAAGACGGCCCTGACACACGAGCTAGTTGTAACGAAACGTGTTAACGGCTTAGAAATACGTAGTGACGCGACTGGTATTTGTAAGCAGTCAACGTGTTTATCAAAAATAGTGATATTTTAATACAAATTTTGTAAAAGTGAATCAGATTATTACGTGTAAAAAACCATTTGTTACGCGTATAAAACTATTTGTTACGTGTAACAATCTATTTGTTACACGTAAAAAACAATTTTTTTACGCGTCAAAAACTTATTGTTTCTGGTAAAAAAACCTTTCTTACGCAAAAAAATATTTTTTACGTGTAAAAAACTATTTGTTACAAGTAAAAAACTGATTTTTGCGCGTCAAAAACTTATCGTTTCTGGTAAAAAACTTTTTTACAACCTACAACCTAACCAAACTAAAAAAAAAAATATTATTTACGTGTAAAAACTATTTGTTATTCGTAAAAAACTATTTTTACGCGTCAAAAACTTATTGTTTCTGGTAAAAAAACCTTTCTTACGCAAAAAAATATTTTTCACGTGTAAAAAAACTATTTGTTACAAGTAAAAAACTGATTTTTACGCGTCAAAAACTTATCGTTTCTGGTAAAAAACTTTTTTACAACCTACAACCTAACCAAACTAAAGCAAAAAAAAATATTATTTACGTGCAAAAAACTATTTGTTATTCGTAAAAAACTATTTTTTACGCGTCAAAAACTTATTGTTTCTGGTAAAAAAACCTTTCTTACGCAAAAAAATATTTTTTGCGTGTAAAAAACTATTTGTTACAAGTAAAAAACTGATTTTTACGCGTCAAAAACTTATCGTTTCTGGTAAAAAACTTTTTTACAACTTACAACCTAACCAAACTAAAGCAAATAAAAATATTATTTACGTGTAAAAAACTATTTGTTATTCGTAAAAAACTATTTTTTACGCGTCAAAAACTTATTGTTTCTGGTAAAAAAACCTTTCTTACGCAAAAAAATATTTTTTACGTGTAAAAAACTATTTGTTACAAGTAAAAAACTGATTTTTACGCGTCAAAAACTTTTCGTTTCTGGTAAAAAACTTTTTTACAACCTACAACCTAACCAAACTTTTCTACAACCTAACCAAACTAAAGCAAAAAAAATATTTTTTACGTGTAAAAATCTATTTGTTATACGTAAAAAACTATTTTTTACACGTCAAAAACTATTTGTTTCTGTTAAAAAAACCTTTTTTACGCAGAAAAAAAAATACTTTTTTACGCAGAAAAAAACACTTTTTACGCATAAAAAACTATTTTTTAAGCGTAAGATATAAAATATTCTTTTAATTTATTACTTTTTTAACATTTCAAACTACACTTTTTGAAACATTTCCCTCAAATTTTTCAATTTAATAGAATCTTCCTAAACAAAAAAATATTTTTAGATAAAAATATTTTTATATAATAAAACATAAAATATTTTTAGATAATGCCCTAAAATGAAAAAAAAATGCATACTATTTAATTTATTTTTATTTCATTATTAAATATAACGTTCGCCTATGACGTCTCAACTTAGAAATCGCTAAAGACGATGCAGAAAACAAATGATTTGTTTTCATTTGCGTTTTTTGCGAGACACGCCTAACGGTACACGCTTTTGGTGGGGCCACTCCTATATAATTCTGTTATTTTGTTTTAGTCGCTAAAGACGCTTCACGCTAAAAACGCAAAAAACGCTTCCTGTGTGGCCGTGGGCTAACGTTGTTTAATTTTAAATAATGAAAAATGTCGATGTTTAAAAGTAATTTTACACTCTGACTCTAAATTCTTGTATAGTGACGGACGAAGAACTTTTCGAAGACAACCCGGAAGAATACACGAGAAGAGACATCGAAGGTTCCGACGTGGACACGCGCAGGCGCGCCGCTTGCGATCTTCTCAACACCCTAAGCATCCAGTTCGAGCCGAAAATCATGGAGATCTGCGGGCAGTACCTCCAGGTGATGTTATCCAAGTACGTGGAGAATCCGAAAACCAACTGGCGCAACAAGGACACGGCCTTGTACTTGGTCATATCGCTGGTCAGTAGGGGATCGACGCAGAAACACGGCGTCACTCAGACGAGTCAGCTGGTGAACATCAGCCAGTTTTGTCAGCAGCAGATATTGCCAGAGCTGGAGAGGCCTGATGGTAAGCATGGATTTTTTGGTTATTATTGAATTACAGGGTGTTTTAAACAACATGTGCGATCTCTCGTGGGGACATTCCTCACGTAAAAATAAGATTTATTTTTCATATCAACATGCGTGTCCGATTCTGCTTTGTTTCGTAGCTACAGGGGATTAAAGTCTTCATTTTTTTTTCAATTTGCTATACAGGGTCCGGCAATAGTGCGTCGGGCATCTGTAGCTCCTAGAATAGAAAACTTGAGAATTTTGTTTAAGTGCATACCTAAAGTATGTACCAGTATGTATTTCAGGAAAATATTTTAACTTCTATAGGGTGGCTCAAAAAAGTGTGAGTGGACCCGGATGATTTTTTTTAAATGGAACACCCTGTATATTATTACATTTTTGGCTTTCTTTCAGATCACTTTACATAACTCTAAGATATGAATAAATAAACTTCGATAGTTTCAGAGATATTAAAAAATAAATCAAAAATATATACAGGGTGGTCCGAACTGTATTCCGGAAACTTCGGCAGCATATTCTGCACATAAAAATAAGTAAAAAATTTCGTATAAATGTATGTCTGAAAATGCTTAGTTTCGGAGATACAGGGTGTAGAAGTTTCATTTTTATTTCGATTTTTTCCAAATAATTTCTGAAGTAACGTTAATATTTAGATGAAAATTGGTGTCTGGAAGTTTTTTGACGTGAGAAAATTGATTTTGATGTCAATATGACTCCTGTGTGTAGGGGGCGCCACCTACATATGTTTTAACTGTTTTGAAGAGTAATAACTCTCGTCCGTACCTGTATAAAACTACCGAGTGAAAAAATATACATTTCCGTGACTTTTTACGTAAAAAATGCCTCTTGGTAAAAATCGCTACGAGCAACGGTTCTCAAGGTATTTAGAATGGAAATAGTCAATACATGTCATTATTAACAAAAAATAAACACGTTGAGTAGATATAGTTATTGGACTGAAATAATAAATTTGGGAAATTTTTAGTTTAAATTAATCATAAATTTTTCTGCGAAAAAAACGATGATAAAGAACTTTTGGCACAAAAACATTTGAAATTTATGATTTCAGTCTAATAACTATTTAGTCAACATGTTTAATTTATGTCAGTGATGACAGGTACTGATAATTTCGATTCGAAATATCTCGAGAACCATTACTTGTAGCGATTTTTACCAAGAGACCTTTTTTACGTAAAAACCATCGTAAATGTATATTTTTTCACTCAGTAGTTTTATACAGGTACGGACAAAAAGTTATTACTCTTCAAAACAGTTAAAACACATATAGGTGGCGCCCCCTACAAATAGGAGTCATATTGACATCAAAATCGATTTATCATGCCAAAAAACTCCCAGATACCAATTTTCATCCAAACATTGACTTTACTTCAGAAATTATTTGGAAAAAATCGAAATAAAAATGAAACTTCTACACCCTGTATCTCCGAAACTAGGCATTTTAGGACATACATTTATACGAACATTTTTACTTATTTTTATGTGCAGAATATGCTCCCGAAGTTTCCGGAATACAGTTCAGACCACCCTGTATTTTTCAGCCCTTAAAAAAATTATTAAAAATACAAGAACTGTTCTGAAATCAAAACTATTTTAGATATTTACATTAGATGGTCTGTAGTTACTTTGCTATAAATATATAACTCGTAAATCATACAGGTTGTATGTTCAAAATTCTACGCCCAACTTCCTAAAATATAAAATAATTTTTCTTCGTTTTTTTAAATGGAACACCCTGTATATTATTTTTTCAATAGACAGAGAATTAAAAAATGAACATTTTTTTATTTAGAGTATTTCAAAATTTTTAACGGTTGTATAAAGCTATAAAACAAATAAATCAATTAATTACTAAAATATTAGTTATTAAATTAAAAATAAAACGTAAAAATCTTTAAAAAAGGATATAATATATTGTTTCTCAATTTTAAATTAAGATACATCTCATAAATCCATCACAATCTGGCAGCGCTGTCGCCCTCGCTTGTCACTTAAAGTTGATCACGTGCATCGGAAATTGTTTTGCGATTACTGTATGTATAAAATTCATAAGAAAAAAGAAAACTGGCTTAAAAATTGTTAAGCTATAGGTACATAGCTAGTACAATATTTCAATATTAAAATCGCAATCGCAGGTTACAGTCGCAGCGATTTAAAAATCGCAATCGCAGTTACAATTGCGATTGGAGAATCGCAGTTTTGCTCATCTCTAATACATACCAATGCTTTTTTCTTCCAGTGAATGAATTACCAGTACTTAAGGCTGACGCCATCAAGTACATAATGACGTTTAGGTCAGTATTACCGAACGAGGTTGTGGTTTCCACCCTGCCTCAACTCATCAGACACTTGCAGAGCGAAAGCGCAGTCGTTCATACGTACGCGGCTTGCGCCATTGAGAAAATACTAATTATGAAAGACAGCAACAATCAAGCTATGTAAGATAACAGTTCATAACATAACAGTATAATAGATAATAAGGAATATTTTTGCAGAGTTTCAGGAGGTCATATTCAACCGTTTGCCAAGGATTTGATCAGTCAATTATTGGAGGTGTTGGAGAGACCTGTATCAGAGGAAAATGAATATATTATGAAAGGTAAGTGATTATTTGGTCCTAAATTATACCAAGACAATACAATTGGGGTTTACAAAAAACATTTTTGTAACACAAAAAATGTACGTTATGAAATTTATAACGTCATATTAACTGTATTTCGGAAACTTCGGCAGCTTATTCTCCAGGTAAAAATAAGTAAAAGTAAAGATTTCAGTTAACGTCTTCTTTTTGCTGCCAGGGCTAATCTGGACGGGGCCTACTTTGTTTACGCGGAATCCGAACTGCGGTCCTCGGCCATATCATGGTCAATGGCCTACCGACTTGGTAAGTGTCTAAATCGACTCTTACTCGCGAGATATCCGATCTCATCCGGCCTCGAACCGGCGTGAATGGGCCAGTGTGTGTCAATAGATTTTATACTTTTGCCTTTTTTTGGACAACAGCACGATACAGAGTTTTGAACCGGTCACCCGTCCATCCACTAGTATCACCTTCCGTCGCTTAACTTCGGTGTTCGAATGGGAACCGGTGTTTCGACGTAGCTGGGTCGTTGCCCAGCAGTATTGTATAAATGTATGTCCTAAAATGCTTAGTTTCGGAGATACAGGGTGTAGAAATTTCGTTTTTATTTCGATTTTTCCAAATAATCTGTAGTAACGTCAATATTTGAACGAAAATTGGCGTCTGGGACTTTTTTGACATGAGAAATTTGATTTTGATGTTAATATGACTCCTACTAGGAGAGGGCGCCACCTACATATTTTTTAACTGGTTTGAAGACTAATAACTTTACGTCCGTAGTTGATTGTAAACTACTGAGTAAAAAATATACATTTACATTTTTTACGTAAAAAAGGGCTCTTGGTAAAAATCACTACGAGTAATGGTTCTCGAGATATGAGGAATCAAAATTATCAATACCTGTCATCATTGACATAAATTAAACATGTTGACTAAATAGTTATCAGACTGAAATCATAAATTTGAAATGTTTTTGTGCCAAAAGTTAAACAGAAACTGTTTTATCATCATATTTTCGCAGAAAAATTTATGATTTAAAAAAATAAAAATTTTCCAAATTTATTATTTCAGTCAAATAATTTTACTTTTTGTCAATTATGACATGTATTAACTATTTCCATTCTAAATATCTTGAGAACGGTTACTCGTAGCGATTTTTACCAAGAGACATTTTTTACGTAAAAAGTCACGGAAATGTATTTTTTTTCAGTCAGTACTTTTATACAGGTACGGACGAAAAGGTATTACTCTTCAAAACAGTTAAAACAAATGTAGGTGTCGCCCTCTACAAATAGGAGTCATATTGACATCAAAATCAAATTTCTCACGTCAAAATACTCCCACACGCCAATTTTCATCCAAATATTGACGTTACTTCAGAAATTATTTGGAAAAAATCAAAATAAAAATGAAACTTCTACACCCTGTATCTTCAAAACTAAGCACTTTAGGACATACATTTATACGAACTTTTTTATTTATTTTTATCAGCAGAATATGCTGCCGAAGTTTCCGGAATACAGTTCGGACCACCCTGTATACAGTACGTCTGTCCGTTCTGTAGCTACGGGGTATCCATGAGAGGGGAAACGATATTCTCTCGATGTTTTTGGTAAAAAATTAGACAACACCCCATCAATAAAAATTCCACAAATTTGCAAGTAGCCAATAAAATGAGTGGGCGGACCGATTTGCGGTGACGTACTCGTTAAGTCGACGTATAAGATATATTGCTGTTTATTTAAATGTTTTTTGTCCGCATTCCTTTCATAGACACAGATCCAGCAGACGAACTGTACATATAATATATAACTGAAAATATTTACAATTTATTCAAAAATGTAATAGTAAACTATTATTTTCAGCTTTAATGAGGACATTTTCGACTCTACAAGAATTGGTTATACCTTACTTGGGTGTGGCATTGCCGAAACTTACTGAAATACTTAAGGCTGTTACAAAGAACCCATCTCGGCCACATTTCAATCATTACTTGTTTGAAACGTTCTCCCTTTCTGTCAGGTAAGAAACAACAGTGTTGTAAGTTCAGATTGGTGGGGTTAGAATCTAGAAAAGTACACTATCATTGCCATTAATTGCCACGAAAATTAGATTAAAGATCTCGTCTTGCTATCAGATATTTACATCAGACGTTGACGTTTTGTTAGGTCTTCTATTAAGACGATGTTGGCACAATCAATACATTTTACAATTTAGATAGATTTTAAACTCTTTTTGTGAAAAAAGATATCTTGGTTTATTTGGGTTTACTTAGATATTAATGAGGCAAATTACAGTATTTTTAAATATTAAAAATTGGTGATAAACTCTCACGATATCAAGATATTGTATACAGAGAAGACCAGGCTACTAGTAACATAGCAAGTTGCCGGACGAATTTACGTTTACCCGATTTGCTTTCATACTTGAGATTCACTGCCGCAGTCAGTACTCGAGTCCGCAGTTGCAGTTGTGCTTGGACGGGTCGGTCGTGACAGACTAGGAATACGACGCGAGGAGTGCCGAGTATTTATTATTTTCATTTTAAGTGTTTACCTTCACTTAATGTAACATTTAAAATAAAAATACTTAAATATTTATTATTTAAGTGTGTTTACAAGCCAAAACTATAAATAAATAAATTCTCTAAACCCCAAAAAAAAACTAAAATATTACTCTAAATAAAAAAAAAGTTATAACAAGTGTTCAAAAAGACCACCTTCTTGTGCTAGACAGAAGCCTAGGCGGTCGTAAAATCCCCGTCTGACATTGCCTAACATATTAGGGCATAGTTTGGAAAGCCTCTCGTATTTTTACTTGAAGCTCATCCAGATTATTAGCCCTATTATGACCATACAGTTTGGATTTTACATAACCCCACAAAAAGAAATCATTGGTAGAAGGATCTGGTGATCTAGCGGGCCACAAAATAGTTCCATATCCACTAATTAAACGGTTGCGAAAAGTATTGTTCAAATATTCTTGAACAATACGGGTATTGTGGGCAGGGCAACCATCTTGTTGAAACCAGACATTGTGGAATCTTTCTCTCAATAACTCACGAATTCTAGGGACAATCTGCTGCTGTAACAAGTCCAAATACTTTGCAACAGTTAAATTGCCCTCTATAAAAAATGGACCAATCATATGCTCCTCTACAAAACCACCCCAAACATTTAGCTTTTGAGGATATTGCTTGCGTACCTCAAAATATCTGCAAATTTTCCCGAGACCAATATCGTACTTGTGTAGGGTTATGACGACCCAATAAAGGAAAACTTGATTCGTCGGTGAAAACTATACGCCGAATAAAGTTTTCATCTAAATTGGCCTTTTCCATTACAAAATTGGTCTTCATGGAAAATTTCTTGAGTTTTGCGCGCTTTATACGATCGGTATCCATTCTTTTTAAGGACTCTTTTTACCGTGCTAGGTATCTGTTACCTCAGCAATTTGATTAGTTGAAAAAGTGGGATTTTGATCCGCGGTAGCAGACATGAACACTTGCTTTAACTCCTGTTCTTCATTAATCAACACATCAGGCTTTTTGTGTTTTTGTGGGGACACGCACCCATGTGTTTCAAAATTATTAATAACTCTTGATACCTATAGTAGGCAAAGATGGAAATGGCCTGTTTACAAAAGTTTGTGGAAAAATTGTTTGTATATCCCGATAAGACCTATTTTGGAAATACCATTTTACAATTTGAATTTTCTCACGAACTTCGTAAACATCCATTATTTTACTTAAAAAATACGTTTTACACGATAACTGTCGCGAGAATCTATGTATTCGTTTTGGCTATTAAAACACGAATAAATACAAATTCTGAAACATTCTTATCACATATTTACCTATTTTTATTTTATCGCATTTTTTTGCCTGCTTTTTATCCGGCGGATTATTTTTATTCGTCCGGTTCTGCCTATGTTACTACTACGGTTATCCGGTCTGTATACTTTTTTACTTACTTTCTACGTTCAATAGTCTTTGCCATTAAAGTGAAATTAAAGAGAGTTAATTTATTGTCTGTTCTTTTAGAATTGTATGCAAATCTAATCAAGCTGCTGTAAAATCGTTTGAGGACATTTTGTTTCCGATTTTCCAAGGAATCTTGCAACAAGATGTACAAGGTACATGTTACATTGTATATTTTAATTTAAATCATCTTTCAATCTATTTTTTTAGAGTTCATCCCCTACGTCTTCCAAGTATTATCACTGCTATTGGATTACACCCCTTCAGGATCGTTATCTGATGCATACATGCAACTTTTACCATGTTTGTTGGCCCCTGTACTTTGGGAACGACCTGCTAACATCAGCCCCTTAGTACGATTGTTGAGAAGCTTAGTAAGCCAAGCGGCCCAACAGATTATTGCTCAGGATAAGTTGGTAAGTATTATATGAGGAGCAGACTTACTAAATGCATTTTGTCTATTTTTGAAGATTTTGAACCAAAGGTGGCATTGCAACTACATACACAGAGTCACAATATTATGCCAGAAATGATGTGGTAAATACATTTTCTCCCATTCGAATTAAATGGCGAAAATACCTTAGACTTGTGTATGTCCTTGTGTGCTGTGGATATACTGTTGTTTGTTTGTCATTGCCAGATGAAGAGTTTTTTGTACTACAACTTCTCTATTTTCCGAATAATACCACTTAAAATAATGAGTGGAACTACGCCTAGGAGCCATGTAGTTGGGGATACGGACCGTGGTAGTAGAAAAATAAAGAGAAATTTCACGTCTAAAGGACAGTTAACAGTTTTTTTCAGTTTTTTTATATACCATCAAAACTAGATTTTTCACCTGTAGGTGTACTATTTTTATGATTTTTTTATCAATTTTTTAAGCATACTAGTTTTTCGGTAAGTTTCTTGCAAAAATCCTGGCAGTTTTTCTTTGCCAAAAATCGAAAAAATGGACAAAATGCATCTAGAAAGTCTGATCTTCATATCATTATTCATGCATCTTATAAAGAGGATCTGGGGACATACTGTATACCTTTAGCATAAAAAACTTTGAATACAAATATTAAGGAAGGAACATATTAAAAAATTTAGATGAAGCGCGATGGGGGCCTAAAATGGCCGAATTAAATTCCGGTTTATCAGTGCCGTGTTAATTTTATTTAAAACTTGTAAAAATATAATATAGGGTAGACCCAATAATTTGTTGTTTTATTTTACTTTGTTAATAAATATTAATAGTTATTAAAATTGTTATAAAAATATATATTTTTAATAAAAATAGATAAGTTATACGCTACAGAAGCAGGTATGCCAAATTGTCTTATCTAAATTATTTGACATCTAATCTAATTTTTGACAAGTAGTAAATAAAAGCAAAAATGCAAGAAAAAATATATAATTAGTTAATTTTAAGCGAATTTTATAACTGATCGATTTACTACACATATGCATGGTACAAAGGAAACAAGGTATGATCGATAGCGGCTCCAATTTCGTTAACTTTGCGCATACCACCTGTGACGTCATATGCTATACAAAAAAAAATATCCATATTGTTCAATTGTCAGTAATAAAAAAGACCTAAAACTTTGAATAAGAAGGCTAAGGAAGGAGCATATCAAAAATCTTAGGTCCACCGCGATGGGACTCAAATATGGCCGACTTAAATTCCGGTTTATCAGTGCCGTTCTAATTTTATTTAAAAAATGTAAAACTATGATGTAGGGTAGACGTGGGGTAGACTCAATAATTTGTTATTTTATTTTACGTTGTGAATAAATGTTGGTAGTTATTAAAATTGTTATAAAAATATATAATTCTAATAAAAATAGATAAGTTATAATAAGTATTTATTAACACAAACATCCGATACGCTACTGAAGCAGGTAAGTCAAATTAACGTATCTAAATTCTTTGACATCTAATCTTTGACAAGTAGTAAATAAAAGCAAAAATGCAAGAAAAAATATATAATTAGTTAATTTAAGTGAATTTCATAAATGATCGGTTTACTACACGTATGTATATTATATAGTCACTTACTAGCGAAAAGTTGTTCCATTATTTCACTCGATTTTTTGCCGAGATCTACCGCACGCTACACAACCAACTATTTTAGAGTCTTTTTCGATAAATCGCGATAGTGTCACTGTTAATTTAAGTTCTGCCACAATTTCCATTTAGATTTACTACCTTTATACAACTATCAGTATAGAATAAATAATAAATAACAAAATGAGCTCCGTAAAGACTGACAAATTCACAAAATTTCAAATCAAATTCAAATGTGTCAAATGAATCGTCGAACAGAACTGTCAAAGATCCCCACCCTATAGTCCTTTTTCCACCCACCATGCATGAATACATGGATATCATTATGCTCCTTCCTTAGTCTTCTTATTCAAAGACCTAAAATAGGGAAGAATTAGGACATAACACCAAAAGTCATGTCAAATCATCGTGTTTGACATTTGAAAAATTATTTTCACATTTATTATGTGTCATCTGTTTGACAATTTGAAATTGGCGCGCGGAGCTTGCCGACTAATGGTGCCGTTTATCACCTGTGACGTAGTGACCAATCTGCGCAATATTGTATTCTTTGTATCATGACACGTATGTATATTATTTAGGCACTTACTAGTGAAAAGTCTACCGCACGCTACACAACCAACTGTTTTACAGTCTTTCGATAAATCGCAATAGTGTCACTGTTAATTTAAGTTTTGCCACAATTTCCTTCTAGAATTACTATCTATAAACAACTACCAGTTGTAGAATAAATAATAAATAACATAGAATAAGTTTAGTAAAGACTGACAAATCCACAAAATTTCAAATCGAATTGGAATGTGTCAAATGAATCGTCAAACAGAACTGTCAAGGATAGGTGGAACTACTTGGATAGCATTATATTCCTTCCTTGATCTTTTTATTCAAAGATGAAATTAAAAGCAGTATTAAACTCTTCTCTTAATCTTTTTATTGATTGATTGATATTAATGATTAATTTTCCAGCCTGGCTTTTTGGGCGTGTTTCAAAAACTGATAGCTTCAAAGACCAATGACCATGAAGGATTTTACTTAATGCAGGCACTTATTTTACATTGTCCTAAGTAAGATTTCGTGTGTAACTTTAAAATTATTTAAACTTACTAATTGTCGATCTTTCAGGGAATGTTTGCAACCATACTTGAAACAAATATTTTTCCTTCTATTCCAAAGGCTGTCGTCCAGTAAAACCACGAAATATGTGATAAATGTAATCGTTTTCTTCTCGTTATTTATTATCAAATACTCGGCAAGTGATTTAATCACCATGATCGATGGAATCCAAGATCAGTAAGTGTCATTTTTATTCTCTACTTTATAAGACTTTGTAATATAAATAATTCTCTTTTAGAATGTTTGGTATGGTTTTGGAAAAACTGTTCATCGCAGAGACACAAAAAGTTACTGGTCAAATTGAAAGAAAAATTGTTTCTTGCGGAATAACAAAACTGTTGTGTGAAAGTCCCGAGATGTACACAGGAAAATATGCAAAATATTGGAATCAGCTTTTACAGGTATTTAAATCGGACAATAATGTGACTTTTTACTTTAAAAATTTAATAAAATAACTATTTTAACTTTTTTTTGGTAATTTACGTTCAGTTGTTCCAGTTGGGGTTTGAAACCTTTGGTGTTCCAACCCTAGATCATATATACTTACGTGGATAAGTAAATCACTATGAAAACTGTCGCAAACATATCAACGACTTCCATTTATCTTCTTTTTTTTGTTGCACTCGCGGTGCTTCTACTCTATCTTTCCTTGTCGAGGACCTATCGTCCGCGCGCCAAATTTGAACATTAATTTTAAAAATTTAATTTGTAAAATGCTTATATTTGAACAATAAATTGAATGTTTACTGTCACAAAAGTTAATTTATAAAAAAATATACATTTAGCCACTCTGTACGAATATCAATATTCTTAGGAAATCTAACCAGAAAGTATGCATGTGGCTTAATATAAAATTAACTTCTCACTGAACACACTTGCATTCTTGGCTATATAAAAACGGTCGATAAAAGAGTAATTAATACAATTTTTAAATTAAAAAACGCGAAAAACAAGCTATAGAAACAAGCGTCGCGCGTCGTTACACAATGGAAATAAGATTATGAGCCATAGATAAATGAAACAAGTTTAGATTGGAAAGTGCCCATAAGGACAATGTAAACACTATTTGGCGCTATTCTTGCAACGGTCGCGACCCAAAACTTTTGAAAATTTCGGAGCGGTTCGGCTTTTTCTGGAATTATATCGCCAAATAATTGTTTATTCAAATTTATTATTATTTTAGTTTAATTTTATAAATAAAAGACATTGTGTTGCATACAAGAAACTTTATTTTATATAAGGACGCATGTATGAAATACCTATAAAACATTGGAAACCGACGTTATGCCACGATCCACGATGGTTTTTGCAGTTCACAGCACAGCTTTTTAAGTTTTTAATGCCACTTTTTCACAATTATCACCGGTTGGAGTAAATAAAACTTGAATTAAACTCACAAGATAGCAATTATTACTTTGAAAATGGACGCTATAAACACTTTTCGGAATTTCTTTAATGAGAGCGGTTTAGATTTTGAAAGATCATTATGATTTTTGAAGATTCTGACTTTGACAAGAGAAAATTATTTCTGTTTTTGTTTGCCGTTGTTCTTAGCGACCGCTATAGCAGCGCCAGATCGCGTATAACGGTCGCGACCCAAAATAATTTCGCGATCCAAAATTTTTACGGGCTTTCCGATCTAAACTTGTTGCATTTATCTATGATTATGAGCATAATTATGACGTATGATTAATGACAATGAAAAGTTGGTTTCCATAACAATGTATAATTTGTACTTTCTAAACCGTATAAAATTGTGATTATTTTGCAAATACGTGCAACTTTGAATGCGCATGCGCAAAGTTAGGTTCTCGAGGAAGACAAACCTATTGAACGTTTCATAAGTGCAATAAAGAAGGTTTGAAAATGGCATGTCGTGATGTTGGAGACATATTTTTTAATGCTAAACTTATGGCGTTGATTATCCACGTAAGTATATATAGGGTTACAACAGCAAAATTAAACACTAATTCAGCACAATACACCAAAACACTTTACTTTTGCACTGGACTAGTCTTAATCATCTGCTTATGATGCTAACAGGGTTAGCGAAATGCGCGTCCAGTGCAGAAGTAAAGTATTTTGGTGTATTGTGCTGAATTAGTGTTTTATTTTGATACATGCAATTGTGATTGGACTTTATCAAAAAATAGCGGAAAATATACTAGAGGACTATATATATATAATCCTAAGAATAATACTATAATCCTAAGAATATAGATTCTTACACTGATCTGATTTAGATTTAGACATTCGACGAGAATTATGATGGTACTGATGGTAATTCCGTTTCAGGCACTTTTGATGTTCTTTGAACTACCTCCAGATGAAAGCACCTTCCCGGACGATCATTTTATCGAAGTAGACGACACACCCACTTATCAAACGTCAAATGCCAAGCTAAATTTCGCAAACGCCGACAAAGAAGATCCCGTAGCTGGTAAATATTATTTCTAGATCATATTGTGTAAAAAGATTAATTGTCGTCACCAACGAGATCTAAATAAAGGGGGAGACAAACTATGGTAATCACAAAACAATTTCCGATGCACGTGATCAATTTTGAGTGACAAGCGATAGCGACGGCGCTGCCAGATTGTGATGGATTTATGAGATGAATCTTAATTTAAAAGTGACAAACAATATATTTATTATATCATTTTTTAAATATTTTTACGTTTTATTTTTAATTTTATTAATAATTATTTATTTGTTTTATAGCTTATTTTACTATTACATATTGGCAAAAACTAGTCCATTATGAAGATTATTCTAAGCGTTATTATGGGTTATTTATTTATTTATGGATGTACATTTTACAACGCCATAAGTGGTAATAACAAGTAAGAGGGTGCATAAAGAAATATCACAGAATTTAATAAAAACTAACGTAAAAATAACTTTGACAGTGGTGTAATGTGCTTATCAATCAAACTTACTTTTCTGACTGCAGTCAAGGGTAATAAAGAGCCTTTATTGTTCTTGTTCAAAATAGTTTATCAGGGAAACTAAAAGCTCTTTGCTTTGACTGTTTAAATGCTTCGACATATTTTCAACACACAATTTCAAGAAATGCAATACAAAAACTCGATAATTTAGTTCTTAAAAGAACTGTTTGTGCTTCAAAGTACAATTTTTAAAAAAAGACTATGAAAATAGTCAAAAAAACGAGAATTACTCACGAAGATTCAACAACAACACGATATGTAACATGTAACACAAAATAATGACTGACATTAGGATAATTGTCAAATAATAAACGACAACCTTGCTGAAAACGGCGCAATGTGACATAGCGATCATAAAATTCGGTTTAAACTAATTTTTGCAGCTTTAATCTAAATAAAATATCTGTTACAATCATTTGCTCTATAAAGTAAAATGAAGAGTTGCTCGGTATCTTAAATTATACAACAAATTTAAACATTTTTGCCAAAATTTAATTAAGTCAGCTTTATAGACTTTAGTGTCAATGTCGATATGATTGATGACGTGCATCGGAAAATGTTTTGCTATTACTATATTTACATGTTTTCGCTCTCAAACATGGTTTTCAACAAAAATCGATGATGACATATTTCTGCGGATTGCGTTAGATCTGCGGCTTGTGTTGGAAAACGAATTATGATATTAATGTTTTTTTTTTCAAAATACCTATGGAAACCTTTATATTACGGTAGAATTATAAATGCAAAAGGCGTTTTGTTGGGTACAGGGTGACACGCCAAGAGATGGGACCAATTTCATTTTAGGGGTATATGTTCTAATGAAATTAGACAGCTTTAGCACGTTTGTAGATGGACACATCTAGTACGTTGGCCGGGAATAATAGGGCTTGCTCAATAACAATAGGTTATAAAGATATTTTCAGGGACTCACCGCACCAGTGTGGGGTATTAGGGTTTTAATATTTATTGTAAGTTTTGTTAAAATATATTTTGTTACATAACGTAAAATAATATGATAATGTGGCAATACAGATATTTATATTAAATTTTTTTTTTATTAAAACAACTTTCTCAAAATATTAAAACAACTTTCTGTCAAATTTGCCACCTCTGTCTTTTTTTTGAAATCGACCAATAAGAGCTCGAACACACTGACGACCAGGTCGCACCGGCCAGGCCGCTGCTACCTCTAAAACCATTAAATCAAATGATACAGCGCACACTAACACGGCACACAGGCCGTCCGTTGGTCGTTGCGACCAGCAGATTGCACTAAAATATTATTTTCTGCAGCTTGTTGCCGGTTTTCCTCTAAATTAATAATTTTTCAGATGAAATCCCTCAAATTCAACGCACAATATTTTATTTTCTATAAGATATAGTGTTTTAGTGTAGTTTTTTAATACACACGTGCAGAAAATCCAAAGAAATAGTACACAGACTGGATGAAAGGGAAACTTAAATCTAGTCTCTTTTTTTTATCAAGGGTCGATTCTAGTAAAAATTCAAAACATTTTTATATGACATACTCTATTTATGGTTGGTATGATACCTGTTATTATACCTACGAGTTTCGATGTTAAATAATAAAAAAAATCATATTTAAAGTTTTTCTACAACCACTTTTGTTTTTTTATTAAATTAGTTTTTTAGTTGTATTGTAGTCATGTACAAGGATGACAACTGTATTTTAAATATTATTTAATTTTTTTATTTTTTTTAATTTAACGTATTTCAAACAGGGTCCATTAGACTATATTTCTACTATGTATGTACATTATTTAGAAAAAGAGTAAAAGTAACTTAAACATTCATAAAAATAGAAGTATTTACTGTTGTAGATTCTCAGTAACTATAAAAAATAGGAATTTATATTGTAAACATTGAAATAATTGGAAGCTAAACTTTCTACCTGCTTATATTTAGAGCCAGTGTCTGAAGACTTTTTTTTACGATGGCCCTAATATGTTTACTTCTAAAGTCGATAAGAGCCATCAGTAGAACTCCATATCAGTAGAAAAAAGAAACAGAATATCTCTTTTTTTATCGGTCGCGCGTACACAATGCTTTTTGTTCTGCTTGTTCGTGCGCGCTCGGTTCGTTCGGTCTAAAATGCCCAAGTCTGGACGCACCTTTAGGAACAATACTGTTTTTGTCCTTTATTGATATAATGCTGAAAATCTCACGAGTTACATGTCTCACTCTACACATATTAAATTACATAGACGTAGGATGTAGAATATTCTGTTATGAAACGACTGATGGAATAGCAGGCATCGCGGATTTGAAAAACATGGAAATAACGACGTTATCGTGTAGTCGGGGTTGGATATTTTACCTACTCCATTTACCACACCAGTATTTATTAACGAAAAATCCAAGAATATTTTAAATGCATTATTTAATATTAGAACATTTAATAAGCTCATGAATAGCGACTTCGCTTTTTAGTTAACTCGGATATTTTAACATTTCTGAAACTTAATTATTTCTGAAACAATATTTACTAATTGGTAAAACGTAAAAAATCGTTAGATCTGACAACTCTGTTGAAACTGGTCGTTCATCTGGCCGCAGCTATAAACGCAATACATCCGGCCAGCCGACGCGACGGCCATGTCGTTGCGACCTGGTCGTCAGTGAGTTCGCGCTCTAATATCAATATTCATTTGGCATTTCCCAATTCGCTTGTATATGAACCTACCTTATATAAATTATATTCCGTTATTAAACTCCTTGCTTACTTTTTTATTCAAGGGTTTAAACAGTAACATTTTTTCAGGTTTAGGAGAACCAAGACAATTCTTAGTCCAAAGTCTAGCAACGCTAGGTGCGTCACAACCAGGTCGTTTGCCCACTCTCATCAGTAACACAGCTCCACAATCGCAAACTGTTCTACAGACATATTTGGCAAAATTCGGCGTCCAGCTCGTTTAATATATCCTTTTACTCTGTTTTTATCTTTATCTCTATTAAATATTAGCGTACCGATTTTTATTTTATACGTATGCAAAGTTGTAGTCCAAATGTATGCTGTAGGTTGGTATACATTGCCAGTCTGTGAGACTCAGTGTTGTAATTAATATTATATATGTTTTTTTGTACTCCATATAATTATTATTTAGATGAGATGTTGCATTTATTATGGACTGCAGCTTTAGGATTGATAAGCGATTAACGAAATCTCGGATGTTATTTAGTAATAATATTTATGCCCTATTTTTTAATAATAAAGGAAGCTAATTAAAAAAAATAGTTTTTTTAAGAATAGTTTGATCAGCGATCTTTTAACGTTACGTCATATACTGTCGTATTCTCTTTCACTGGGGCTCGGGACCTAGGTGAAAGAAATCTTTGCCTAAGGAATCCATCATTTGATTTGAGGTTATAATTTTATTGACGTATACAGAGTGGTCCGAACTGTATTTCGGAAACTTCGGCAGCATATTCTGCAGATAAAAATAAGTCAAAAAGTTCGTATAAATGTGTCTTAAAATTATTAGTTTCGGAGATACAGGGTGTAGAAGTTTCATTTTTATTTCGATTTTTTCTAAAAGTAACGTCAATATTTGGATGAAAATTGGTATCTGGGAGTTTTTTGACATGAGAAATTTGATTTGGATGCGAATATGACTCTTATTTGTAGGGGGCGCCACCTACACCTGTTTTAACTGTTTTGAAGAATAATAACTTTTCGTCCGTATCTGTATAAAACTACTGAGTGAAAAAATATACATTTCCGTCACTTTTTACGTAAAAAATGTCTCTTAGTAAAAATCGCTACGAGTAACCGTTCTCAAGATATTTAGAATGGAAATAGTCAATACATGTCATTATTAACAAAAAATAGACACGTTCAGTAGATACAGTTATTTGACTGAAATAATAAATTTGGAAAATTTTTATTTTTTTAAATTAATCATAAAATTTTCTGCGAAAAAATGATAAAACAGTTTCTGTTGAACTTTTGGCACAAAAACATATCACATTTATGATTTCAGTCTAATAACTATTTAGTTAACATAAGTTTAATTTATGTCACTGATGACAGGTATTGATAATTTATATTCCAAATATCTCGAGAACCATTGCCTGTAGCGATTTTAACAAATCAGATCTTTTTTACGTAAAAAATTAAAAGATCTTTTTTACGTAAAAAAAGCAGTAAATGTATATTTTTTACTCAATAGTTTTATACAGGTACAGACGAAAAGCTATTACTCTTCAAACCAGTTAAAAATGAAAGTCCCTAGATATATCTAGGGACATTATTAAAAATAGGCAGGTGGCGCCATCTAGAAGTAGGAGTCTTTTGGGTTCTTGAATATGCTGAAGATATTCTGCATACAGATTTCTCAATAACTCAATAATAAAAATAATCCGTTTATAAGATTTTTGGCACATCTATATTCTTTTCCTACAGTGACTTTTCAGGTTATTAAAATAATCAACGACATAAGTTTATATGTTTATTTCCTTGTATAATTAAATTAACAGAAACATAAATTTAAGACTCTTCGCTGCCTGCTGTGTCATCTGGCAAGGTCAAAGTGACAGGTTCTCTAACTAACGACAACAATTTCTCTAATTTCATACACTGTAACGTCCATTGGTCTAAATGTTGCTGTTTTTTAGGCGCTTTACATGGTATCCTGAGGTTTGGAGACAGCTTTAATGTTGTCACGCAGCCTCTAGAAGTTACAGAGAAAATTAGATACAAAATTATTATTTATAGTATTTTTTTTTTCAAATATTTGTCGCTAAGCCCCGTCCAATATTCAGCATGCGTCGTCTATTCTGTTAGTAATTAAGACTATGTCGTTCGCAAATCGTAGGTGACGATTCAGTTTTTTTTAAGAATGTCAACCTTACAACCTACAGTAAAGACTGACAAATTCACAAAATTTCAAATCAAATTCAAATGTGTCAAATGAATCGTCAAACAGAACTGTCAAGGATCCCCACCCTAGAGTGCTTTTATGGTGCTTTTTCCGCCCACCATGCATGAATACATGGATAACATTATGCTCCTTCCTTAGTCTTCTTATTCAAAGCCCCCACACAATAAATTAATGATAAATATATAAACAGTTATTATCTACATCAACAAAAATCACCTTCTTAACAGCATTTAAGGGACATAAATGGCCATTACTACCGCTTTCCCGTTCAAAACATGGGGTGCATGAATACACACATGGCCAAAATTATTGCATATAACGATATTTTTATTTTATTTTGGACCTAATATGATTCTGTTTATATTTTTGGGCCTATTGGCTTACTACACGACTAACTAATATAAAATTAAAAATCTAAGTGCAACTAGGCTGTTATTACAATTTTATTTCATAATGAGTGAAAATCAACAAAAACAAATTTCATTTTAAAGAGAAAATATTGAAAACAATTTTAATTATTTCTCACAACTAACAGTCTGTATTGCCTCCTCGAGACTCAATGCAAGCTGTGAGATGACGTGGCGTGCTCTCAATTAAGTTGTCCAGAAGATGCCGAGGAATGGCTTCCCATGTTTCGCGCGCAGCAATTTTCAATTCATTTAAGGTACGGAGGGGATCATTCCTTTTGGCAATATGACGTTTTAGCATGTCCCAAGCATGCTCGATCACATTCATATCTGGAGACATCGGTGGCCACGACAGTTTTCTTATACCCTCTTCCTCACAAAATTCGCGAACCGCTAAAGTGCGACGGGGAGGAGCATTATCGTCCATGCAAACAGATTCATCCTCCACTGCCCCTCGAAATGGACGCACAATAGGCTCTAAAACGTCTCTAAGATATGAGGCACCTGTCATTGTGCCATCTGTAAAATCAAGAGGAGTTCGAGCTCCGTGCATTATACCTGCCCATACCATAATGCTTCTCCCTTGAAACGGGACACGGGGTTGAGCTGCATTCAAGCGTGCTCGTCTTCCAGATGCTCTCCTGACGTTCGTCGCGAATCTGACACTAGGCCTATTCTTGTTTCATCACTAAACATGACGAAATTCCAATTAGGTCCATTTGCTCTCATCTCCTCAGCCCATTGTAGGCGCGTAATTTGGTGCTGTAAATTAAGCTTCGGAACACGTAGAGGCCTCCTTAAATGTAATTCTCTGTCATTGGGTCTTCTTGCTATGGTCTTTCTTGAGACATTTACTCCTTCAAGGCGAGCTAACTCATTTTTAATAGCAGTACTAGAAAGCAGGGTATTGCGTCGTGCAATTAGAGATATTTGACGATCTTGCACAGTAGTAGTAACTCTTTCTACCTCTTCCAGGCCGGTCTGTAACCTCTGTAAGGTTCGTTTGTCTCCCTGATTTTTTTTAATATTCGCGAAACATCGCTTTGGTTAACTCCTACAATTTCAGCTATTGCAACTTGCCGGTAGCCCTGTTGAGAGAGTGTTACTATTCTGACTATTAAACTGTGAAATAATGTTTCTAGGCATTTTAAGGCCAAAACAATGGTCAAAATACTTCTGAAACCCAAGAGACCACAAATTGAAATGTGCCAGAATTTGTAATGATATTGGGTCTGAATGATAAAAATTGTTTTCCATATCCATTTTAACAATGTATGAAAAAGATTCTTTAAATTTCTTTCCGTATATTTTTAAACGATATATGCATTAATTTTGGACATGTGTGTACATCGATAGTATTATACTCCTTCCTTAATATTTTTATTCAAAGAAATCAAACAATAACTTACATAAATTTAACGACAGACGACGCATGATGGATGCATGTAAACCCACACTAATATTTTATTTAATTACTTGTCATCTCCAACTATTAGAATAGGCAGCTTCGGATTGAACGACAGTCTGGTTAGTTTATTCCGTCTTTTAGATACTATAGCTTGAACACAGATGGGTTTATACTTATTGACATTCAGATCGAACACGTAGACCTTGCCTTCGGTGGTGACAGCAGCGAATACCGTGGAGGAATATGGAGCCCATTTGACGTCACCCACTCTGTCACCCACGTCGAATACGAATAAAGGTTCTCTGCAAAAAAGAATAGTCTTAAGAGCTAGCAAACTTTTCGAGAAAGTATTTTAAGAAAACTGGCTCTTTAATATATCTTTTGCTATGCTCTCTGGAACAGCGTGCGAATCGTCTGGCTGCCGATAGACGTTGCGTTCACAACTGCGCATTGAAAGAAGATCCTATTTTTTTTTGTTTAGTCCGTTAAATTCTAGTATTGAATATAAATCGAATAAGTCTCCATAGTGCGGCGCGAAAACGTTCAGCCTATAAAGCGAGAAGTCCAGAGTTCAATACCGGCTCGGGGTAAACTTGTTTTTTTATTTTATTTTCGTTTATATTCTAACAGTAAAGTATTAAATAATTTTTAACCTAACCAACTTCCATAGATAAATGAAACAAGTTTAGATTGGAATGTGCCCATAAGGACAATGTAAACACTATTTGGCGCTATTGTTGCAACGGTCGCGACCCAAAACTTTTGAAAATTTCGGAGCGGTTTGGCTTTTTCCGGAATTATATCGCCAAATATTGTTTATTCAAATTTATTATTTTCGTTTAATTTTATAAATAGAATAGTGTGTTGCATACAAGAAATTTTATTTTATATAAGGACACATGTATGAAATACCTATGAAACATTGGAAACCGACGTTATGCCACGATCCACGATGGTTTTTGCAGTTCACAGTTCACAGCACAGCTTTTTAAGTTTTTAATGCCACTTTTTCACAATTATCACCGGTTGGAGTAATACAACTTGAATTAAACTCACAAGATAGCAATAATTACTTTGAAAATGGACGCTATAAACACTTTTCGGAATTTCTTTAATGAGAGCGGTTTGGATTTTGAAAGATTATTATGATTTTTGAAGATTCTGACTTTGACAAGAGAAAATTATTTCTCTTTTTGTTTGCCGTTGTTCTTAGCGACCGCTATAGCAGCGCCAGATCGCGTATAACGGTCGCGACCCAAAATAATTTTGCGACCTAAAATTTTTACGGGCTTTCCAATCTAAACTTGTTGCATTTATCTATGCCAACTTCAAAATTAACAATTACTACCTGATAACGATTAATTAATAAGGTAAAACCAAAAAGCCCCAAACTTTCTGTATGATTATTTTTAATTTTTACGTATGTTATGTTTATTCATGTTATATTCTTTAAAATCAAAGAATCGATGGCCATACCTACATTACTAACATCTACTGAGCAATGCATGAGCAATACATTTATTTTTATTAGATTGTATTAAAAAAGCCTCTTATTTTCATCATAATTTTGGCGTTATTAAAATTTATTCTGTGCCCTGTGTCCCATGAATGCTGACAAAGCCTAGATTTGTGAAAATCTCCCTTTCTTAAATAATCTTTATGTTCTTTAATTTGTACATTTAAGGGTCTAGATGTTTCACCAATGTAAAATTTATCGCATTCACATGGTATTTGGTATATATTATTATTATTTTTTATTTGGTCTAAAGCTGCCGGTTCATTATTTAGGTATAGACATTTTTTAGTAAAATATATATCAAAGAGCCAGCTTTCTTAAAATATTTGTTTTCCAGACGTTGCTAGCTCTCATACTAGAATAGTTATAGAAGAATATTGATTATTTGCGCACAAATATTTGGTTAAATTTGATTTAAACTACTACTTACAATTAAGCTTGATGCTTCATGCGTCCGTTATCCGTTGATACGATGGTCAGACGGCGCGGCGCTCTGATTGGTAATAGCGTTTTCGCTCCACTTTTTATCCGTATTTTTTTTACTCCAGCCCGTCAACAGAGAAAGATCGTACGGTAACGGACGTTTTGACACTTTTTTGACAAATTTAATCCAACCTTAATAATAAAAATATAATAATCACAATATCACCGTCAAGTTTTAATATATCTTTTGCTATGCTCTCCTGGCTAAAGTGCGGGCTATCTGGCTGCCGGTAGACTACTGCGCGTCACATCTGTACATGGTATCCCATTTTCGTGTGTTTTATGGAATTTCTCTTTTATGAGTAGAGATACAATGATGCGATTTTCACATTACTTTGCTAATTTTTTTATGAAACTATATATGCTACACATATGTTTGTTCTAGCCTCCTTCGTTCCTGAAATACAGGGCTAATTTCACTAATTTGTATGCGCAGTAGTGAACAGATGTTGAATACAGATATGATGCGCAGTAGTGAACGCAACGTCTACCGGCAGCCAGATGGTCCGCACTCTGTTTAGGACAGCATAGAAAATATATATTAACCAGCTTTCTTAAAATTCTCTCTCGAAAACGTTGCTAGCTCTTAGCCTTTCTTAGACTATAAGTAAAATAGCGAAATCGTTTTGGAAATGAAAATATAAAATGGCACCAATCACAAGCAAATCGTATATCCGATGAACGGAGGCATGAAAATACAATAAATTTAAAAACCGTAATTTTCTAACCATTCGAAGTCTTTAAAACCAACCAATAAACGTTAATATCGTATCATCGTATCGTCGAAGAACGGATGCATGAAAATCCAGCTTTAGGAGAAAAGATTGTCAGTAGAAAACATCAATATATACTTACAATCTATTATCTTCCCATATCTTTACCCTCCAATCGCCACTACAAGACGCGAATATGTCCGAATTATATCTGTTAAAATCGATCCTAGCTATGGGCATTTGGTGAGCGTTGTACGTCAGCAAATACATCGAACTGTAAGCGGTGCTGCATTTGAATATTTGACCCTCTTCAGTACCCACCAGATAAATGAGATGGTTCTTTGGATGTAGTTTGACACAAGAGGCGCAACCTAAGGAGATCACCGAATATATTAATCACTATCAATCTATTTTTGTTTAAGTCATTCAGCAATGCTGGCTGTAAGAGGCAAGAAGGTAGAATTACTAGTATTAAGAATACATATAGTTACCTTTGACTTTGAGTTGGGTACCGTCCGGTCCTGGTACTGCATCCTTGTCAAGAAATAAGGTGATTATTGTAGTTACGGATAACTCGTTTTGCATCAGCACCCAGTTATTGATTTTACCATCAGATGCGACCGAGAAGAAGTTCAGTTCTCCATCTGGTAGATCCGCTGCCCATTTCACCTTGAGTGATTATTATTATTTTAGGTTGTTTTTCCTAGTTGCACCAGTGAGTGGTGTCCGTACGCATTGACAAACTTTTTTATTATAGCATGCATATTTAAACACATTTAAATATCTCAAAAACCAAAGCTTTTAAACATATTAAACCCTTATAATAAATGCCTTATTTTATGTCCAAGAATTCAAAAATGAAATAAAATACCGGGTGTTCCATAAGTAAAATATAACTTTGGTATGGATTTTAGTTCTGACGCACCCTGTACATTTCAAAATAATTTTAAATTATGTACATTGCCTTCCCACAGATACCCATAAAATATTTTATTTCTACATCTTTCCGTTTTCGTATAATCTACCGAGGCGAATGCGGTGCTATTTTTTAACAAAAGCTCTATGTTTTATGAATTATTTTGTTTATTAATTTTATTATACGTATACAGGGTGTCCCACTTAAGATGGATACAAGCCAATATCTTGGTTGTTTGTTGAGCGATCTTTTTCATTTTTGGCAGGAGGCTGTATGGTTATAAGACGTATATTTTGCCCAGGGTAAGAAATGCGATACCTCATAGACGTACGTTTTAATGGGGTTTGATATTTTTCGATCCAAGAGTAAATTACCCTTAGGACAGTATTTATTTCAAATCTGATAAATTATATTGAATCCTCCTTACCTAAGATACTTAAGTTCTAATTTTTATAAATATTGATACAGGGTGTGTCATTAAAATAAGACATTTTTATTTTTATTATAATTTTTTAAGTACTTACGACGCCACTGGATAAACAACTGGTTTATTATTAATAACCATTTATATCCAATTATTAATTAATAATCGATTTAAGTTTGGTCGAAGATGGTTGAAGATGTTGACTTTCAGTTAGTTATAGTTTTATAAATCTTTGGTTAGGGCATATTTTTCAAAGTTAATAATGATTGTTGTAAATAACCATTTGGAATATTTAAAAATATCCTCAATAAAACGAATAAAAATCATATTTCAGATTCCATTGAAAACTGGGGTTTTAAATTATTTTGTAACTCATTCTATTCATTTGTATTAGCAAACTTAAAAAACAATTTTTTAAAGTAAACAAAATAGATTGAAAATATTTAGTTTTTTTGTATCGTATCTTAATTATTATGGAAGCTATCTGAAAACTTAGCGCGTCTAAAGGACTTTAAACTTTTTATTGTTTTTGACGATGTCTGCGCCGTCTTGCCTAGCGGCGGATGAGATAAGTATCTGTTGAAGCTGCTCTACTGACTTTATGCTGACTGCATTTACTTATTTTACAAGGGTGTCTGGTAATAACCTGGTTATTGCAGAGAAGCCCAAGTATTTATACACTCGCTGGCACGTAAAACGAGCGTCTTAAAATTTTCACGAATCTCGAAAGTTTTATATATTGTGTTCTAGTTGACCGATTTTGATGATTTTTAAGCAATTTGGAGAAAATATGTACCTAGACGATAAAGTGATTTTTAAATTCCTCGCTGTCTTAATTAGCGATGGGAACTATCGAATGAATTAGACTATCGAATGGTTACCGAATGAATGATTTCAACTATCGAATGGTTTTATTCGAATAAAATTATTCATTCATTTGTATACTAAAGCATATGTGACAACCTCGCCGTGCGACTAAATGGTTATCGTTGAGCTACGACTATTGAATGCTTTTGATAAACGAAATTTAGTATTCGTTTGATTTTTGTGTGCGTCAGTGCATTATTAGTTCTTCCAAATTTTTATAACTTCACCTTATAAATACTGTGCTATTTTTGCATTTATTAAAATATTTAAATTACTAAAATAGTAGTTTTTTTTAATTGACGATTGTGTGCGTGTGCAGGTGTTAAAATTTTTCCGAAAATTTGTGTGATTTTCCGTAGCCCGATCTTTCAATTATTTTATTTTATATGGTATATATGGTCTATTTTTTAATGGGAAATTTTGAGAAGTAGCAATTTTAAGAGATGAGATGAACTTAGAATTAATTTTAAAAATACCTATTTGTATTTTAGATGTTTTAATAATACGAATTAGTTGAACTTAATAATCATATTTAAGTAATGTGGTTAAGTAAATGGTTCTCGAACTCAAACTATGGGGTGAGAAAATTAAATTGAAAGTTTTACACGTGCCAATTTAAAAAAAAAGTTAACAATGTTTGTTTTTTGTTTATGCTAATTCTCTTACATGTAGTTTTTTGCGAAGAAATATTTCATTTATTTTTTAAAGTAAATGCCAGTAAAAGTAAATGTTATTTTTAAATAGTAATATAAAGTACCTAATATAAATAATTTTGATTTCTAATTTTTTATTTATATTTTCCTTCCATTACACTGCATGCTTAGAAAATTAATAAATGTTTATATTTCATGATTTTAAAGTTTGTTGTTAATATAACAAATTAGTTCTGTAATTATTATTATTTATTAAACCAACGTTGCCACAAAGAATTTAAAGACTATATTATTTTTAAACAGGATCTAATATAAATAATTTTGACATCTAATTTGTTTTTGTATAACAAATTATAAAAAGTAACGCCAAACAATAATATTCTTTGCTAATATCAACTAATACCAATATATGGCAACAGCGCCCTTCATAATGTATTTTCTGTGTAAATACTAGCACCTCAATAAAAAAAATTATGTGTCGTTATCTTTATATGACTCCGCAAAAAGTCAAAGATGCCGGCTTCTTTCATAGCATTGCCACCGACCGCGCTGTCGGGTTTCTCGGAAAGAAACCTACGTCGCCGGGCGACAACAAAAATCCAGTTAATATTTTATTATAATCGATCCTGACGAATAAATGAATTTGATAAATGAATGAATTTTATAAATGAATGGTTTTTGCTGCCGAATTACTAGAATACAATATTTCAAGGCAGATGACGCATCTATTCGATAATTTTTATTCGAATAGTTTTCAACGAATGTTTTTTTACTAGCTATCGAATTATTCGAATGAATTGCAACTATCGAATGTTTCGATAGTATTCATTCGATAGTTCCCACTACTAGTCTTAATATATTCCACAGAGTGTTTGAAACTTTCACCATAATATCAGTATTTTGTTTCCCTCGTATAATTGATAGATGGAAACTTCAATTTTTAATTTAGAAAAAGATACTAAAGAGTCAAATAATTTAGCTACAAACTGGTTAAAAAATCATCAAAATCGGCCCACTAGAACAAAATATATTAAACTTTAAAACACATGAAAATTTTAAGATGCCCGCTTTTCCTGCGGTTAGTGTATATTATCTAGGGAAATAACATATCGTTGATTAAAAGAAATTGATAATATTCTGGTCTCCGATACACATTTCGGCCGTTGTGGCTTGCTTAGGCGTTATTTACCTCCCAAACGATACCTTTGTGTTTGTTGGTGACGTTGTTGCTGCGGAAGGCCGGCTCCTTGCAGGTGGCCTGCACGTTGAACACCAGCACCGAGCCGTCGTACGCCCCCACCACCACCATGTAGGGGTACTTGGGGTGGGTGTCGACGCACATCACCGCCGACTCGGTCATGCAGATGTAGTCGGGGTAGGAGGGGTTCTTGAGGGTGAACAGGCAGACGGCGCCTTCGGGCGTCGGTTTCATGAAGTCCACTGGAATAGAGGAATGATATTAAGCAAGTAATTAATAACTTATATAGGGTGTCCCAATATTTCGTGTCCCAAACATAGAACGACTATGTATTTTTGGATACAAATTACATATTTAATTGCGCACAATTTTCCTCTATACAAAAGTGCTTAGTTTTTCCGTTAGAGGGCATCAATAAAAAATAAACCCTAACTTTAATTAATCTTAAGTTTATGAAACTTATTGTCACATTGTCAAAGATCATTTGTAATACTAACATAACATTCCAGATTTTCGCCAATTAGAGCTTGATGTGTATTGAAAAAAAAGTAATTTTTTATGTCGAGAAATAAGGTGGGTGGACCATGGAAGGCCATTGTAACGAATAAATAGTTTTTATTAGTTCATTTACGGGATAAATGAAAGAAACGTATGATTAATTAACACTTGGTTTATGTTTAATACTTTATATATGTTACATAATAGTGTCACATATACATTTTTTTATTCTAGATGTAATCTCTATTTATTAAACTTAACTTTTATTAAGCTCTTCCAAATGGCCTTGCAAGGAACAGGGCTCCATACAAGGCCAATATTATAAATCAGTCGTTCAACTTAAAACTAGAGTTGTAATAATCAAAATATCCGTTTTTACTAAAACTACATAAAAAGCTCTTCCATTTAAACGTAAAATTAAATGCTTAACATATTATAATCTTCTTCTTTTGTGCGTCAGTCCATTGGTGTGCTTGCAGTGCGACCAGTGAGGCATTCCATTTTATATTTATAACCAAATATATGTTTTGACAAGACTTTGACAGTTAAAACAACAAATTACAACAGATTATATATTGATTATTATATGACTTGAAACACTGCGGCACTGGAATTAAGTTTTATGTGACCTTGAACAGATTAGTTCACATGGTAGCGAGCGATAAATCACTCCCAAACATTCGTGGCGTTTACTATAAGAATATATTAATGGAGATTATTTAAAAATTATAGTAATGAGTATTAATATCGATAAGAAATAAGTTGCCAATGCGCTTTAGAATGAAATTAGAAAAAGAGAAAATTTACCTATAATGACCTTCTTATGGGTTTGTTCTTTGTAAGGCCAAAATGTGTTTTAGGTAAAAAGTTGAATAACTTCTTATAAATAATAATATTATAAACATGAAACATTGTTTCAACTTTCCCGGTACGTATTTATAACTAAAAATGATGTGTTCATATTTTCATGATTTGTAAATGTTGCTAGTAAGGCCCATGTACCTTAGCAAGGCTAACCGTCAAATTTTTGATTGACCTTATAAGGAACCACCGACTTTTGTCTGAACACTACCGATATTTTAACTGAAATCAAAGCAAAATTATTATTTGTTTCCTTTAGTACCATATAACAAACACTTATATGACAATTTACAGTAAAAAAAATAAGATAATAATAGGTTATTTACATAAAAACTTTTCCTGTGCGCGCGAATTACAATTATTTTAACATCGACGACCGAAGTCTACAGCGGCACATACATTATCAAAAAATCTGCGCAACAGGCGCCAATGTATGGCCCTGTTTGATGCGTTGCGCAATTGTTTGATAGTCAAGAATGTTTGAATTCTTTTGTGCAACGGGACTGTTTGCGCAACGCGTTGTGTAGTATATGTATATGTGTGCTTCGTTGTGCAATATTTTAGTTCTTTCATCCAAATTCTTTGTTTTTTTTTTTCGTTTTTTGGTAACATCGACATTTGGTAACATCTAGGGCATATACGATAATAATTGACGCAATGGCAATTGACACAAGTGCCAATTTTATAAGTGCATGGGTGATGCAGTTGTGCAACGCAACGTTGCGCATCGCTTTGTAGCGCAATTTGTTTGATAATGTATGTGCCGCTGAATCAGTTGTGCAACGTAACGTTGCGCATCGCTTTGTTGCGCAATTTGTTTGATAATGTATGGGCCGCTTACGAAGCGAGGGACCGCACTAACAAAATAGCGACGCGAGCGACTCGCCGCGCCGCCGCGTCTGTGTACTTGAGTTTATTGGAGCTTAGTGTAAGTGGAAGGAATTTGTCATCACGTGGCATTAATTATGACTTTTTTATAGTTGGCCTTCAAATGAGCATGGCCTTCCATGGTCCATCCACCTTATATGTCGATTTCATAGATAACAAACTCATAACTTGCAAATATTCAAGAAGATAAAGAAAAGCAAAAAAATTGACGTCATTGACTTGTTTAGCATCAATACCAATCACTAATCCTCTAACACAGTGTTGCCAATTATTTCAATCATTGTTGATCGCGCCATATAAGCTACTTAACAATTATTCAGGGTGGTCCGAACTGTATTCCGGAAACTTCGGTAGCATATTCTGCAGATAAAAATATGTAAAAAAGTTCAGCTTAGCAAAGCATAAATGTATGTATGTCCTAAAATGCTTAGTTTCGGAGATACAGGGTGTAGAAGTTTCATTTATATTTCGATTTTTTCCAAATAATTTCTGAGGTAACGTCAATATTTGGATGAAAATTGGTGGATGGGTGTTTTTTGACATGAGAAATTTGATTTTGATGTCAATATGACTCCCATTTGTAGGTGGTGCCATCTACATGTGTTTTAACTGTTATGAAGAGTAATAACTTTTCGTCGGTACTTGTATAAAACTACTGAGTAAAAAAATATACATTTACGACTTTTTTTACATAAAAAAGGTCTCTTGGTAAAAATCGCTACGAGTAATGGTTCTCGAGATATTTGGAATCGAAATTATCAATACCTGTCATCATTGACAAAAATTAAATATATAGGTATGTTGACTAAATAGTTTTTAGACCGAAATCAAAAATTTGAAATATTTTTGTGTCAAAAGTTCAACAGAAACTGTTTAATCATCATTTTTTCGCAGAAAAACTTATGATTAATTTAAAAAAATTAAAATTTATTATTTCAGTCAAATAACTATAGAAATTGCTTTATTGTCATAAAAAAATTTTACAATTTTGTTGACAAAGCTTAAAAAAAAGAATATAAAAAACATACAAAACTTCACTTAACAATAGAAAAACATATAAAACTAACAGCAAACATACAAAACTAAAACAATACTTTATACAATTATAGAAATTGTACATTGTCAAAAATTTATTTAATTAAATATAAATAAAATATAAACATACATGTAAATAAACAACTGTATATAATGTCAATACTAAATTTAAATGGATAGAAAACAAAATCATTTCTTAAATTTAGTGAATGTGTGTTAAATTTAGAACCCTAGATATTAATAAAAAAATCGTTAACCGCGTAAAAGGCTTTCTCCAGTAAGTATGATCTCAAGGCTCTGCGAAATGCAGGAAAGGATGAAATGGAATTAATTTCAGATGGCAGATGATAGTGCATTTTTTTTTGCATTGTACAATTGGGAACTCTTTACTAACTCAGAGTGAGGGGTTGGCAGATACATGTTATGCTCTGCGTTCCTAATTGGATAGCCATGAACTGGCTCTAGAGAAATACTCGATACGTGCTTGCGAACTAGGCAGACGGATTCGAGTATGAATAGGGAAGGAAGAGTTAATATTTTATATCTTCTAAACAAGTCCCGGCAGTGAGCACAACTGGTTAGCCTCAGTGAATATCGCACAGCTCTCTTTTGTAATTTGAAGATACGCTCAAATTGAGTCGCACAACACGCACCCCAGAATGGAAGTGCGTATCGGAGATGCGACTCATAAAGGGCATAATAGACTGTCCTAGATGTTGACAAATTAAGCACATTAGCAACTGATCTAAGTGCGAAACAGGCAGAACTTAATTTTTTAGCTAAAGCATCGATTGCAAATCCCATTTTAAATAGTTGTCCACAACAAGGCCTAAAAATTTCACAGAATCAACGACGTCAATGGTGGTATTATCAAGTTGAAAAGGTAGCAACGTACTTTTATATGATAAGACTTTAGTTTTAGAGACGTTGAGACACAGATAATTAGAATCGCACCATGTTTTTATGTTGATTAAGTCACTGGAAATGGTTCTATGAAGTGCCGTGGTGTCCGGGCTGCTCCATGTGAAACAAGTATCATCCGCGAAGAGACAGATTTTACCACTGATGTCCAGACTAGCAATATCGTTGATAAACAACAGAAACAAAATAGGACCTAGCACTGAGCCCTGAGGTACTCCGCATTCTATTGGCTTGCAAGAAGACACAGTCTTATCAACCCTCACACGCTGGTTTCTGTTGTTAAGGTAGGACTTAAACCATTCAAGAGGCGTTCCCCTGATACCATAGTACTGCAATTTGTTAGTTAGATGTTATGATTAACACAATCGAAAGCTTTCGAGAAATCACAGAAAATTGTTGCTGTAACGAGACGGTTGTTCAGACTGGAGTATACATTATTAAACAGCGAAAACATAGCGTCATTTGTACATTTGTTACTCAAGAACCCAAACTGAAAGGGGGTGAGTATTTTGTATTTTAGAAGAAATGATACAAGCCTCTTTTTAACCAGTCTCTCCATGATCTTCGATAACGTGTATACTCAACGTGTGCTTATTTTTTGTCAATAATGACATGTATCGACTGTTTCCATTCTAAATATCTTGAGAACGGTTGCTCGTAGCGACTTTTACCAAGAGACATTTTTTACATAAAAAGTCATGGAAATGTATATTTTCGTATATATAGTCAGTGGTTTTATACAGGTACGGACGAAAAGTTATTACTCTTCAAAATAGTTAAAACACATGTAGGTGGCGCCCCCTACAAATAGGAGTAATTTTGACATCAAAATTAAATTTCTCGTGTCACAAAACTCCCATACTCCAATTTTCATCCAAATATTGACGTTACTTTAGAAATTGTTTGGAAAAAATCGAAATAAAAATGAAACTTCTACACCCTGTATCTCCGAAACTAGGCATTTTAGGACATATATTTATACGAACTTTTTTACTTATTTTTATCTGTAGAATATGCTGCCGAAGTTTCCGGAATACAATTCGGACCACCCTGTATATAAACTTACAAAAACCGAAACAAACAGCAAAGAGGTCGTAGTAGTACGGATTCCACTCCATATCAGTAATGGTATTCTTTTTCGTTCTCTCGTATGTAAACTTCCATAAAGGCAGTAGTGTTCCTTCCTCTTCTCGGAATTCATCGGATGGATCATCCCAGTATCTATAATCTGCAAATGTATTTATATAAATTGCTTGTTTCGACATGCACACTGAATTTTTAGTTTGATCAGTAATTTCTACTAACATTAGACATTGGATTTTTTTTTATTAGGAGAAGTCTGAAAAATTTGGATAACATTAACGTTTATTGGATTTTTATTGAAACATTTTGAATTTTGGATTATTATGGCCGAAAAGGTAGAAAAGTGGCTGAGGTAGATCGAAAGAAACTGTCATGGCTGAGAAATATACGGAACTGGACCGGTCTGGGGGTGGAAACGCTGTTTCATGCAGCAGAAGATAGAGATGACTCTTCAACGAAATAGGCATGGATATCGCTAACGCCTGAAGACAGGCACGGCGCGGCACCGCAAGAAGAAATTGGCTGAAAAGTGTAAAGTCGACAAATGATGGAAAGAGATATCAGAGCGGAGGATTGCAAAAATAGCGTTTCTGGAATGGAACCTCGTTTTTTATATCTCTTTCTAAATTAAAAATAAAAGTTGCCAACTGTCAATTATACGAGGGAAAACAAAATGTTGATATTTTGGTGAAAGTTTTAAACACACATGTGGGGTACGTTAACGAAGCAAGAAATTTAAAAATAATTTTATCATCTAGGTATATCTTTCCTCGATAGTTTCTTTTTTGATTCTTTCCAAAGCTTTATTTTTTTGGAGATATTCGCTTTTGAAGAAGACACTGACATTTTTTCGTATTTATTACATTAAAACCATGCCGTTGCTTTTGATCCTAGTCAACAGACCTACAAAATAGTCTTTATGATTTTTGTAATGACACTGTTTTTGAAAATACGTATTATTATTGTCTGTTGGGCAGTTACTCTAGCAGATTGTTTTAAGTCCAAAAGTTGAACTCTACCATGATCAATTAAAACAGCAATAGCCGATACTTCATAACTTAAAACCATCTCTACTAGAGTAGAATGTAGAATGTTTAGGAGGAGAGTTAATTACCGCGACCTTATAGATCTATTGTGTGTTCCCCTTTCTTGAGTTATAACGAGTTATAACTAATCATACAGTCTCAGGGCTTTAACAAAAGCCAGTATCTGAGACGGCTCCACAGAGGCCAGCTCTCCATCCTCGACATCAGCCGTACCAAAGTTCATGGCACGAATGGTCGTCGTCTCGGCGCACTCAGTGATAAGGTGTTCTGGTGTTTCCCCATTTTCCCCACAGAACCTGCATTCGCCGTTGTTTCTCAGCTTCAGCCTACTGAGGTGTTCGTTGAGGAGACAGTGTCCTGTTAGAAACCCCGTGACAATCCGAAGATTGTTTTTACTTAAATCAAGGAAAATCTTTGATTTTTCTTGGTCGTAAGTTCTGAGGAACTTTTTCGAGTTCTTAGACCGTTGGAGGTCACCCATTCCAAGTTACGGATGGAGTCTTCCAGATTCTTCAGTTCCGCTTTCAGTTGGTTCCCGTTTGGAAAACAGAACGGTTCTGGGCCAGTTAGTGGAGTGTTTGCTTTTTTCCTAGCTAGATCATTTGCTTTTTCATTGCCTTCTATCCCTTGGTGAGCAGGCACTCAGAGTAGGAGGACTTTATTTTCTTTGCCTAATTTGTTGAGCTTCTCTAGGCATTCTTTGATCGACTTCGAATTGATGGTTACTGAGTTGATCGCGTTAAGTGCTGCTTTACTATCGGATAGGATGGCAATTTCCTGTTTCCGATAGTTCCTTATCTAAGATAAATTGTACGCATCTCTCGATAGCGTAAATTTCTGCCTGAAGGATACTGGGGTAGGTGCCCATTGGTTTCGAGTATTTAGTTTTCGGCCCAAACACTCCTATCCCTGTCCCTGCTTTGGTTTTGGAAGCATCAGTATACCGCGTTATGGTATGGTCTTTTATATGTTGAGTAAAGCTTGATTTTCATGCATCCGTTGTCCGACGATACGTTGATACGATATTAATTTTATTGGTTGTATTTAAAGGCTTCGATTGGTTAATCGTTTCTAACCAATCGAACCCTTTAAATACAACCAATGAAATTAATATCGTATCAACGTATCGTCGTACAACGGATGTATGAAAATCAAGCTTAAGGCGTTTCTTTCTTTCAATCCTTTTTATTACTCAATACTACCACAGATTAGGTACCCTATAAGTATACAGATAAAAATCTTGTCCCTAATTCGTGGTACGAAAATTGTTTTTTATGACGATGTGCAAACGAGTCAAATTTCCTGTGCGCAAAAATAAACTCGCGTAAAATAACAATAAACAGCGTAATAGAGAGACATCGCTAAACCGAATAGCGTGCATGGACGTTAATAAGGCCAGTGTTATTTCCTTTACGTGAGGTGGTATAACTCTCATCCGTTGCTCTCTTCATTTATAGTTATCGGATCGGAAAGAATTCTGATCGCGTCGCGTCCGCTATTTAAACTTAACCTAACTTTGAATTTAAAACTTTGAAATTGTTTTGTTTACTAGGTATTTTAAAACTAAAGGGCTAAAGTGCTTATTTCCAGTGCTTTATTGTTCAACGTCTGCCAGTGGGTTTAGGGCAACAAGCAACAAATTCTCTTAGAAGGGCTAAGTCGTCATCTGCTGTAAACCTAAGACTCTTATTTATAGGTTCTTTAGTATTGGAAGAGGTGGAATCCATATTTTGGGCATCCATATTTATTTAATTAAAACTAATCCCAGCTACTTAAATATCAAATTACCTAATAAAACTAAAGCAATAATTCAAAACAATTCAAACATAACCTAAAATAAAAGATCTCGCCGGCCGGCTCCGGTTGTCAAATACCCGCACATGCCCATTTCAGCAATTTTTAAACGTTATCAGAGGTTAATTAGAAAGAGCGCTTGGTGTAATTGATCCGCAAATTACGTCATTAGCGGGTGTTGCGTTAAAAACTTACTCGCGCATATCGTAACCATGATAAGGTACGCGTAAATACTGGATGACGCTATTCGGTTTTCCGATATCTCTCTAATAACTATGCCGGTCAGGCGCTGTGCACAATTTTAGAGGCCATAAGTGGGCGTGCTATGTGCGCAAATTAGTCACCTAACTAGTGCCCGATTCCGAAAATTGGAACCACGAAAAACAATAAAGAAAAAACAAAGATTATAATCTGTATAATCTGTGATACTACAGTGAAGTGTTTCTCGAAGTTGTAAATTCTTGGTAGATATGTCATCTACTGGGAGTTGTTCCATCTGTACTAGAGTAAATGTCAGTAAACAATAATAATATGACATTTCAATGACAGTGACATTACAAAAACAATAAACACTATTTTATAAGTGTGTTGATGTGGATGCAAAACCAATGCTAAAATTGCTGTAAATCGTTACTGCCTTATTCAAAAGCGAATATCTCCAATAAAAATAAAGTTATTGAGATGAACTAAAAAACAAACTGTCGAGAAAAGACTTACCTAGATGAATGATTTTTAAATTCCTTGTTTTGTTAACATATTCCACAGGGTGGAAAATATCAACATTTTGTGTCCCCTCGTATAATTGACAGATGAAAGTTTTCATATTTAATTTAGAAAAAGATACTAAAAGCCAAAGAATTTAGCTACAAATTGCTTAAAAAATCATCAGGATCGGCACACCAGAACAAAATATATTAATCTTTAAAATACATCAAAATTTTAAGATGCCCGTTTTTGGTGCCGGTGAGTGTATTATAATACACTTTTCTTTTAATTAATATATTATTATACCTTTGGCTATATCGTCGTACGTATTCTGATTGATCATCCTCTCCAGCACCCTCCAACATTCCAGTACTCTCCCTGAACCGCCTCGCTGAGCTGCGCCCGACCCGACTGCGCCTTCTTCTGCGGCGGGTGTTTGGATACGGGAGCCTTCTCTTTTTCTTTTCGCTCTCTTTCCAGTTCTTTCTCCAGCTGCTGCGCCGCGAAGTCGCTCTGGTACGCATCGTAGATCACCCACTGGAGCACGTTGGCGGCAAACGTGGCCATCGGCGGAGGGACGGTTTGGGTTTCTTGAGGCTATATAAAATAAACATTTATTAGTGTGAAAGTGGTAGGACAAGGTTTCATTTCAATGGAAACATTTGCCTAACTTCCACTTTTTTTCAGTGAAGGTTTCTCTGTAAGTACACGTGTGGTTGTGAAGTCCTAAATTTAACGCTCTCCTTGAGATAAAAGAAATTTCATTAATTCTATCTATTACATATAAACCTAATTTTTACGTATATTTATGAATAGGAGAATACACTTTCCACAGGGTGCCTACCAAAAACCTGTCTAAACTAGGGGTTGCCACGTTTCAAATTTTTTCCTACGAGCCCGGCAAAAGTGCGTCGGGCATTTGTAGCTTCTATAATAATAAAACTTAGCAATTTTGCATAAGTGCCAAATTAAAGTATACAGTATGTTCCCGGATTGTCTTTACAAGAGGAAAAACTTTATTATTATTGATATTTTTAGAAAAAGGTATTCTTCCTAAAATTTTTTGTTTGTCCTAAAATGGTTAATCCCGTTTATACTTTTCGAAATTTCCACACCGTTTCAGAGAAAATTAAGAAAAACATGAAGATAGTGTTGAATTTTTTCCTAAAAGTCCTAAAGCCAAAAGGCGTTACTATGGTAATATCAATTCGATTTCATTCTTTGATAGATATTTTATTAATTTAGATTAATGTCATATTCTTTGCTGTTCTTAAGGTATCATATTTTCCGATAACTATCATCACCGTTTCCGTAGCATTAAACTAAATAAATTTTGTTTCATCTAAAACAACAAAAAAATATTACGTTAATTAAAATTCTATCAATAACAATCTTATAACAATCTATCAAAGAATGAAAACGAAGTTATGTTACCATAGAAACGCATTTTGATTTTTAGGAATTAAAAGAAATTCAACCATATTTTCATGTTTTTCTTAATTTTCTTTGAAACACTGTCGAAATTTGGAAAAGTATAAACGGAATTAACCATTTTAGAACATGCAAACTTTTTTTATGAAGAATGCTTTTTTCTTGAAATGTCAATAATAAAAAAGTTTTTCCTCTTGTAAAGACAATCCGGGGACACACTGTATACTAGAATGTATTTCAGGAAAATATTTTAACTTCTACAGTATGGCTCAAAAAAGTGTGAGTGGATCGGGATGACTTTTTTTAAATGGAACTTAAAAATACTTGCATATTAGCCTCTCATTAGCCCTGTATATTATTGTAATTTTGGTTTCCTTCCTGATCACTTTACATAATCCTAAAATATTATTAAATATGTTTCGATCATGTTTCGATAGTTTCAGAGATATTAATAAATAAATAAAAAAAAGAAGTGTTGTCAGCCTTATTTTTCAAAATTATTAAAAATAAAGAAATGTTCTGAAATAAAAACAGGTATTTACTTTAGATGGTCTGTATTAAACTTTGCTACAAATATCGTAATCTTAAACTATACAGGGTGTTCAAAATTCTATGCCACACTTTCTAAAATATAAAATAATTTTTCTTCGTTTTTTTTTAAATAAAACACCCTGTATATTATTTCTTTGTTAGATGGAAAATTACAAATGAATATTTTTCGAATTTAAAGTATTTGAAAATTTTTAACGGTTTCGCAAATATATTGACACAAGATACATATTTTGAAATTTTTTAAATATAAAAATGTTAATTTTTTAATTATTCTCCATCTAACAAAGAAATAATATACAGGGTGTACATTAAAAAAACCGAAGAAAAATGATTTTATATTTTAGAGAGTTTGGCATAGAATTTTGAACACACTGTATAGTTTAAGATTACCATATTTATAGCAAAGTACAGACCATATAAAGTAAACACTTTAAACTTGACGAAAAAATTCTCCGTTGCGTTTTTATGCATCTGAGTGTATTTAAGTTGTAACTAGGAAAAAAAACTGAAAGTTTTGAAAAACGTCTCGTTTTTACACCACTTGAGCCTACAATCATTTCAAGAAGCCATCACTTACTCTTGTCGGGTTATTGTACGTCAAGGCGGCCCTCTCGCAAAAATTGAACTGGTTGGTCAGCTTCCGCGGCTTCCCGCCCTTCGGGGGCGCCCTGGCCGCTTCGATTTTCGCCTCGCCTTCACCCTCGCCTTCGGCATCCCCCTCGTCCCCTTCCTCCGCTTTATCCACTCTGGAGACTTCGTCCTCTTCGTGCTCTTCGTCTTTGGGCTCGCCCTCCTCACCTTCGGCCGCGTCCGTTTTCTCTTCTTCCAGGAGGTCCTCGCTGGACTTGACGTCCGGTTTGGACTCCTCGTCCTCTTCGTCCGATATTTCGTACGTGGCGGCTGAAATAAATATTTTTTAAGCGAGTGTCACAAAAAATGAAGTTATACACTATTAACTAGTAGTGGGAACTATCGAATAAATACTATCGAAACATTCGATAGTTGCAATTCATTCGAATAATTCGATAGCTAGTAAAAAACATTCGTTGAAAACTATTCGAATAAAAATTATCGAATAGATGCGTCATCTGCCTTGAAATATTGTATTCTAGTAATTCGGCAGCAAAAACCATTCATTTAGAAAATTCATTCATTTATGAAATTCATTTATTCGTCAGGATCGATTATAATAAAATATTAACTGGATTTTAGTTGTCGCCCGGCGACGTAGGTTTCTTTCCGAGAAACCCGACAGCGGTCGGTGGCAATGCTATGAAAGAAGCCGGCATCTTTGATTTTTTGCGGAGTCATAAAGATAAGGACACATTTTTTTTATTGAGGTGCTAGTATTTACACAGAAAATACATTATGAAGGGCGCTGTTGCCATATATTGGTATTAGTTGATATTAGCAAAGAATATTATTGTTTGTCTTTAGTTAGTTAGGGATAGTATGTCTATATATTTTGCATTTTTTTTATTAATATTCTGTTGTTACACTGCAATAATACTTGTTATTTTGGATGTAGGAAAATGATTTTAATGTTTTTAAGCAAAGACTGGTTTAATAAAAATAATAATAACAGTAATAATTTGTTAAACCTATTAACAACAAAATTTAAAATAATTTAATATAAACATTTTTTTACGTAGTAGCAAAATATAAACAACAAATTAGATGTCAAAATTATTTATATTAGATCCTATTTAAAAATAATATAGTCTTTAAATTTTTTTGGCAACGTTGGTTTATTAAATAATAATAATTACAGAACTAATTTGTTATATTAACAACAAACTTTAAAATCATGAAATATAAACATTTATTAATTTTCTAAGCATGCAGTGTAATGGAAGGAAAATATAAATAAAAAATTAGAAATTAGAAATCAAAATTAGAAATCAAAATTATTTATATTAGGTACTTTATATTACTATTTAAAAATAATATTTACTTTTACTGGCATTTACTTTAAAAAATAAATGAAATATTTCTTCGCAAAAACCTACATGTAAGAGAATTAGCATAAACAAAATACAAACATCGTTAACTTTTTTTTAAATTGGCACGCATAAAACTTTCAATTTAATTTTCTCACCCCATAGTTTGAGTTCGATAACCCCATTTACTTAACCACATTACTTAAATATGATTATTAAGTTCAACTAATTCATATTATTAAAACATCTAAAATACAAATATGTATTTTTAAAATTAATTTTAAGTTCATCTCATCTCTCTTAAAAATTGCTACTTCTCAAAATTTCACATTAAAAAATAGACCATATATACCATATAAAATAAAATAATTGAAAGATCGGGCTACGGAAAATCACACAAATTTTCGGAATAATGTTGACACCTGCACACGCACACAATCGTCAATTAAAAAAAACTACTATTTTAGTATTTTAAATATTTTAATAAACGCAAAAATAGCACAGTATTTATAAGGTGAAGTTATAAAAATTTGGAAGAACTTATAATGCACTGACGCACACAAAAATCAAACGAATACTAAATTTCATTTATCAAAAGCATTCGATAGTCGTGGCTCAACGATAACCATTTAGTTGCACGGCGAGGTTGTCACATATGTTTTAATATACAAATGAATGAATGATTTTATTCGAATAAAACCATTCGATAGTTGAAATCATTCATTCAGTAACCATTCGATAGTCTAATTCGTTCGATAGTTCCCATCGCTACTATTAACCTCCCTAAAGTGTAGGAGAAACCGGTGGAATCCCGCGCACGGGGGAATACCGCGCACGCCGCTGTAGAAAAAACTACAACTAGCAATACACAGTTGTGAGGCTGGAAGTGTTGCATAAGCCATATGAAGTTTGTTCCAAAAGTTTGGAATAATTGCCGGCAGTCGTTAGCCAATAAGGAACATTTTAGTGTTAGATGGGTTTTTCATCTATCTTTTCGGCAATTTAATCGGTTGATAATTAGTAGTTCCTGTGATTATTAAAAGCAGCTTGATTTTATTTCCACTTACCAGTGCACCTATAAGTGTTATCGCAAGCGATCACCAATAAAATGTAAGTACTTTTGCTAAAATACATTTTTAGGTAAAAAAACGGCTCCCGGCGAAATGCCGCGCAAAATCAAAACAAACAATAACGCGCTGCGTGGTATTACCCCAAATGTACACTCTTCTTGTTTATTTTTTTATAGCTTGTTTCTTTTAATTTATGATGCCCAGAACATACCAAAGGGCATCAGAGAAAGGCAAATGGTCAGCGGATGCACTTAAATCAGAATTGGAAACTACGGAAGAAAAAAGAAGAGAGAAAAGAGAAAAAAAGAAGCAAGTAATGTAAATATGCAGGAAAAGAGAAGACACAAACGGCAGAAAAGAGAAGCAAATGTACATATTGTATTGAAAAAAAGAAAACTCTGAACTTTAGTAAGTAAAAAATCAACAAGAAGCCAAAGCATATTCGCAATATTAAGTCTGATGACGATGATACTGAACCTGAGAGCTATTCTGAACGCGAGCTTTGTGTTGATGATGACTTAGACGAAGTTGATCCTTTCCCAATCCATGAAGATGATATCTGTTTAATTTGCGCAGAGTTTGGAAGGGAAACTAGGTCTGGTATCGCTGTAATTCCTGCTCAAAATGGGCCCATGCTGCTTGTAGTGGAAAGGGGAAAGGAAAAATCTACCTTTGTGACTACTGTTGCTAGGTAACAGTTTATTTTTTATATAAATATCCGTGTTAGAAATTGTTTTTTATGTTAATATACAATAATGTATCTTATTTACTTTTGTTCTCACTATCATCTTTCTTATTATTTGTGTACAATAAAGTCTTAGTTAAACTGCCTTAAAATACCCCAATGCGTGCCATTCCCCCAGACCGTGCGCGGTATTACCCAAAAGCCCGGGTAATACCGCGCAGTCACACATTTTTATTATTTTGTGTTAATAGGTACAACAAAACAAAAATGTTTAATGTTCGATGTTGCAATAGTTTGTATATTGTATCAATACTACTCATACAAAAAATTACCTCAAAAAAAAATTAACATCAATCTAGGAGCTATTTTGCTTATGTGCGCGGAATTCCCCCGGCTTCCCCTATCTTTTTTGGCCGCTTTTTTACTTTACGGCCGCTCTTTTACTTTTCGGCCGCTTTTGTAAACAAAATCATTATAAGGGCAGCCTACTAGACACATTTAATTTACTTATTTGAGTTATTTCCACGTCCGATATTAAGATTGTCAAATTATAAAGGCGGCCTATTAGACACTTAATTTGCATGTTTGGATTATTTACCCATAAAGCAAAAGAAAAGGTTCCGTTGCTAGGGTATTTATTTACAAGCTTTCCGTTTCTATCAGTCTTCAACGAATGTTTTCTTACTAACTATCGAATTATTCGAATGAATTGCAACTATCGAATGTTTCGATAGTATTCATTCGATAGTTCCCACTACTAATCTAAATCTAATCTCCTGAGAAGCTGCATAAGTTTATGATGTTGAACCCTATCGAAAGCTTTTTCGTAATCTATAAAACATAGACATACGTTCTTTCGCTGGTCGTAGCAGTTCTGTACTAATATCTGCGTCGCGGCCAGTGCTTCCCTGGTGCCTAACCCCTGTCTAAATCCAAACTGTGAGTGCATCCTCACATCTTCCGTACAATCCCCGATGTATTATTCTCAGGAATATTCTTAGAGAATGACTGATGAAACTGATGAGTCTGTGCTCTTCACATTTTCGTGCGCTGATCTTCTGTGGTATAGGGATAAAAGTTGAAGATAGCCATTGCTCCGGATAGTGACCAGTGTCATATATTCGGTTAAACAACTTAGATAGAACTGCAATGAATTCCTCTCTCGTCTAGAAGTTTGAGTATTTCTGATGGAATCTCATCCGGCCCAGCTGCTTTATTATTCTTCGCAAGTTGTTTAGCCTTTTCAATCTCTTCTTTCGTAATAGAATGTCCAATTATTTTCGACTGTAAGTCCGGTCTATTACTCCTCCCTCTTTTTTATACTTCTTTTTAATTTAAACCAGGTCTCTTTGAGAAGAATGGACGCCTTCTTTAAAAGAATAAGAATAGACAGGCGAAAGAGTTCACCTGGATATACCTATATACCTACGGACATACCTATACAACTTATAACTCCAATATAATTTAAATTGAGCAATGTCTACTTACGTTTTCAGTCAATTCTAGTTGATCTTTTGGTTTTAGCAGCAGTTTTCCTCTTTTCCATTCTTCTAATTCGTCAATATAATCTGATCCCACTTTAGATTTCCTCTAAAATAAAAATTATCATTACTTTCTAAAAAAATATTTTCCTAAATAGATGCGTTTAAAAAATATGCAATGTTATAAATAATTTCTTTTCTGCAAGAGAAGATAGAAACTAGCAGCCGAACAAAAGAAGATTTTAACAGATGATACACCTTGATCTGTTAAGTGCATTTTGTTGGTTTGGTAAATCTATTTGCTAGTGAAGAGCCACTGATAAATTTGTGTTTGTGGATTCTAAACCTAGTGACATTTTATAATTAATATACAGGGTGTTTCAAAAAACATGTGCCATCTCTCGTGGGGAGATTTCTCACGTAAAAGTAGGATTTATTTTTCATATCAACATAGATTTGATTCTGCTTTGTTTCCTAGCTACAGGGTGTTAAATTCTTAATAATTTTTCGATTTGTTATAATTTTTTTCCAAGTACTTTTAGTGATTTGAATGAAATTTTAAGGGCAAAAATTACTATAAGTGCTACATATTTTAATGCTAAAAAAGTATAAACTCATCAGAGACGTGCATATGGGTTATCACCATAAACTATCAGTCGAACAAAAGAATACGAACTTCCACTAACCATTAGCCTTTATTATAGACTTTGAGAAGGTTTTCGACTCGATATATCCTAAGGCAATAATAGAAGCACTAACGAAACAAGGTATTGACAGATCTTACATAGCTCTCGCCAATATATACAAAGAAGCCAAGTAGTCCTAATTGCCAATAGTCTTGAAGAACTACAAGTACAAATTAACGAACTAAATATAACCAGCAATTAAGTAGGTCTCAAAATGAATTTAGCAAAAACTAAGTAATGTATAACAAACTAGAAGATAGAAAAGACGTTCTAATAAATAACACTATTTGGGCAACTAATACACAGCTTGGGATTTCTACTACCAGAAATCAACAGAAGAATTAAGTTAGCATGGAGTAAGTACTCCATGTTAAGTATGGAAGAGTATGGAAGAAACTCAATCATATTCAACCACTTTATCTAAAGAAGAAAACACTTAAAATGGACATTAAATAGACACTTAAAATGGACATTAAAAGAAACTGCAGGTCGCACAACGCTCAGTGAAACGAAATATACTGGGAATAACCAAGAAAGACTGTAGAAGGATAGAGTGGACATGATAAACGACCCAGGTAATAGATGTCATCCACAGAATCAAAACAAGTGGCAATGGACAGGACACCTGGCAAGAAGAACGGACAACAGATGGACCACAAAAATTACAGCATGGTACTCCCGAGGAATTAAGAGACCTAGAAGAAGACCAAACCCGAGATGGGGTCATGATATTAGGAAATTAGCAGAAATAACTTGGGCCCGCATAGCCAACAATAGACAACAATGGGCTCAGCTTCAAAGAGAGTCTCCAAATAGGCGAGGGAGGCTACACCATAATTAGAAATGGTTGAATAAGCTAAAAATAATGATGAATATGATTATATGAAGTATTCTAGACTATACCCAGGCTGATATCTATGTATGGCATATTAATAAGATTAACAATAAGTTTCAACGACTTCAGGGAGTTCCAGGATATGTGATTATCGAAGCCTCTAAACAAAAGTCTGTCCAAAGACCGGATATATGACGGTGACAGTTGTCGTCTGTCAGTTTAATTCAAAGGTAAATTGTATTTTCTGTATTTTTTTGAATATCGTCTGTCAAAATCGTTCCTAACTCATTGGCTAGATTTTAGCTGATTCTTTTGAGAAAAAAAGACGCTAATATTAAAGTTAAGAAAGTGAAAATTGTCTCATAACTGACAAATTGGCAAAATTGAGATAAAAATCATCTATACAAGTCAAAAGTCTAAAATACTATGGGTATAGAATTTTTCTGAGCACTATATACTTAGATATCATTTTCAGAAATTGGGTTTAGATTGCGGATCTTAGTCTCTAATGAGAAAATCTGTCACAACTTTAAAAATTAATACTTTTGATTATCTTTTACTGTACTATAGACCTTCGTACTGCGGACACTATTAACTTAGATAACATCTGAAAAAACTGATCTAAGTGGAAAATAACTATTTGTAGCAACTAAAATAATTTTCCATAAATTACTCACAGACATATCTTTTTTCAGATATCAAAAACAAGAGATAAAAAAAGCTAGATTATATTTTGTATTATATATCATTCGAGCTTGTTTAACTTTTTAACTAAAATAAAAGGTTTACAGACTGTAAAGGAGTGCAATGGTATTATTAAGCAAAAATTAAACTTATAGGTATACGAACCCCATTCCTTGGTACCAGAAAAGACTTTTTTGCAGGACGCATTTTTTGTTTTTTACTTTTGTTCTATATTTTTAATTTCTCTCATATATCTTTTACTGCGACTTTGTCAAAACCGACGTGTTCATTTCGTAAACTTCATTGTTTGGTTACCATAGAAACTAGGCAAAGCATTTATAGATTCTCCTAGGGGATTCTCTCTGTCAGTTTTTGGAACTTTGATAGATGGTGCTTATAAATAAATTTGGTAATGTAATAATGGTAAATAATCAATAAGTAGGTAATAACCAGAGTAATAACCAAGAGAGACCGTAAAACGGGCCGCACATTATACAATTTATCGTACTGCAGGTTGTACAACAAAGTTGTTTGAACGACATATCGGATGCACGTTGTCCACGAACATAAACTACTAGTTTAATGTCTGTCGTACAATATACATACATACATACCAAAAGATGGTCACGCAAGGCGTTTTCTTTCATGAGATTTTCTGTGAATGAAAAGCCCGATACGTGATGTTATTTGCCTACCGCACTCCGGACATTCAAAGATCTCATTGCTTTGTTGCCTCTACTTTTTGGTTGTCGCTGTTAACTGAGTTTACAAATCTTCTCCATTTAGTTCTATTGTGAACTGCTTCTTCCCAATGATTCTGCATGTTAATCCCCTTCAAATTTTTGTGGAAAACGTCCTTGTACCTTTTGAGTTGTCCACCCGGCCTTCTCTTACCATCTACACAGCTCAGGAATCGCTCCCATATAACATGGTGGGGATTATAATTGCTCGGTACACTGCAAGTTTCGTTTTTGTACTCAAGTCATGATTGTAGAAAACCCTGTCTTTTAATTTCCAGAATGCTCTTGAGGCGCTGTTAATCCTGTGCTGAATTTTAGAGTCGATATTGTCCTTTTCCGAAATCAAACTCCGATTGCGACCAAATTTGGTGGGTAGGCTATGTGAGCGACGGTGCACACGGTCCCACCCTGCAAAGTTGGATACGACGTTTCGTTTATATCTTCATCAGGGTGGGACTAAGGATTTGATATTGAAGAAAAATGTGGGTCGATTTCGGCATAATTGGGGACGGATTACAGGATAAAGCCATCGACGTTTCGAACCAATGCCTCTAAATCGACGAAATCATCAGGATTTTTCTTACTTATGGGTCGATTGGAACCGAAATCGGTACATGGATAGAGGTACCCGATTGGAGTACTCAGACGGACAGAGGGTCAGAATGTAGAATGAGTAAGAGGTTAATCACTTCGACCTTAAAGATCTATTGTGCCCCCTTTCCTTGAGTCATCACACAATCTATATTCCATCATACACTTGTTGTAGAGGGGACAGGGTATTTCCCATCATCCTCTGACAACAGTTCTTCCTCTGAAGGTACACGCCGCTCTTCACAGTCGAGGAGCTTGCCTCGGCTGAGGAACCCGTGAGGTGGAGGCTGGAGGATCTGTCTCTATTTTCTCCACCTCTTTAACTTGGTCTCTCCTTAGATCTGATACCGGTGTTGTCCCGTATCTATAATAGAGGATATGTCCCTCTTTCTTTATTGCCTCCTTGGATTTGAGGTCAATTCCTATTGTGAGGACCTGACCATGACCCTCCTTCCTCGAGTTGATGACTCGCCAACTCGATGTCCTTACATTGAAGTTCTGACCTTGGATAAGGCTCAGCAGGTATCTTCTCCTTGCTCCTCGGCAGAAAGACCGTTATGGCTGCCCCTTTAGGGATATTTTCTCCCTTCACTGCAACCAGTTCCGGCCCTTGCCAATTTTTAAGCTTAAGTGCGATTTCCACCAACCAATTCGCCGATTCTTCTATCACACACTATGACACAATCTATGAGGATCATGCCACCTGAAAGTGTATCCCCGCAAAACTCAGCTGACCCACATTCTGTAAATCGTTGTGTTGCGATCCGATCGCCACTACTTCGTCCAGTATAGCCTCTTCTAGAGACGTTTGCTGGTCGGTGGTCAGAGCAACCTCTGGGAAATCCTTTGGCAGCACGGTCATTTTCACTTGTCCAGCAATAGCGGCAAAGCTGGTGATACGTCCCTGCTTGCTTCCCGGTGTTGAACGGCTTTCCATCCTGGCTTTTTTCTCTCCCTGCCGGAGAAGAGGTGAGAGGTTCTCGGTCCCTCTCTTGCCTTTTGATGGAGATGAGTCAGGTTGTTTCTTGGTTTCTTTACTCTCCCTTTTCGGAGGAGGACAGAGGGTCATTTTGTACACTAATTTGAATGTAAGCATTCAGGACGTCAAAATTAGTGGTTGGAATTTGCAATTAGTGGAAAAAGTTAACTAAAGCTTCATTCAATACCTCGCAATTAGTGGAATAAATTAGTGGTTTCAATTAGCGTAGAAGTTTGTTCCGTTAATTTCAATGTAAGCACTCAGAACGTCAAAATGAATGGTAGACATTTTCAATTAGTAGAAAATGTTATCAAACTTTTAACTTCTCCACTAATTATACTTCAAAATTTGCGAGAAATGTCATATTGGCTTTTGATTATCTTCCGTCAAGAGAAATTTTGTGGTTAGAAATCGATTCTTTCAATTAGTCGTAGAAGTTTGTTCACCTAATTTTAATGTAAGCATTCAGAACGTTATAATTAGTGGTAGTCATTTTCAATTAGTGGAAAAAGTTAACAAACTTTTGACTTTTCCACTAATTATACTTCAAAATTTGCGAGGAATGTCATTTTGGCCTTTGATTATCACCCGTCAAGAAAAATTTTGGTAAGAAATCAAAAGTTCATTTTTTTATAGCTAAATATTATGCTTTCTCTATGGATACAACAGACTACCGCAAGCTGTTGTTAGGATATTTTATTAATTTTATTGTGTTTTTTAGACATTGTCAATGATCGCAAACTAAAAAGCAATGCTAAAAAAAAGTGTAAAGCTTCATTCAGAACTTCCCCTAGGAGATGCAAGACCTTGTTGTTGGTGGGGAAGCTCCTGGTCAGGTGCTGGAGGGAATCCCCCCTAGCACTTGGCTTGGTCTAAGAAGCATCTCACTCATTGTCTTGTCCCTGACTGTAGTGTCGTGGCCAGGGAATTGCACCAAGACATATAACGATACCGGGCGGGGCTACGGACAACCTCAACTGGGGCACCGGGGGGCATCCCATTGTATTTTACCCCTTACTTCTACATGCGGGGCTCTGTAGAAGTGGACCGACTGTCCCTAGCGACTCATAGGAACACTATGAGATCTGGTAATAATAGTAATAAAAACATCACCGGTGAAGCTGTGGGGAAACCCCCTAGCGACACTGGGAACAGTAACAATGAAAGTTCTAAGGGGCCAAACCCAAAGAGAACTACAGGAGAGGTGGCTGACACTTGCGTGAGACCATCCTCCGCAAGTGGCATACAAGCTACCACCTCCTCAAAGGGTCGGGAGCCTTCCTCCTACCTCTAAACCCAACAGGCGACACAAGCTACCGTTTCGTCTACCCGGCCTGGGTCGTAGCTCCTCGACTGTGAGGGACACGGGTCTCCGTAGGAAGTCCTGGGACTGTATGATGAGTTATAACTCAAGAAAGGGGGACACAATAGATCTCTAAGGTCGCAGAGATTAACCCCCCTCCCACTTATTCTAAATTCTTCTAATTCATTCAGAACCTCGAAATCAGTGGAATAAATTAGTAGTCTCAATTAGCGTAGAAGTTTGTTCCTTTAATTTTAATGTAATCATTCCAAACCTGATTGACTACCTGATTCTTTAAGTATTTGTAAGGCAGAAACCATATCTATTCATGATGCAGTAAAGTTTGCTATTAAAAAGAACTTGCGTAGTGTTATTTTCTTTTCAGATTCCAAAAGTTCAATTCAAAAAATTAGTAAAAATCTCTTTAAAGCATCTGCTGATTATTGGACCTTAAGAACCAAACGTTTAATTTGTTCAGCAAATTCTAATGGTTTTGACATAAGGATTGCCTGGATTCCAGGTCATTCCAATATCTTGGAAAATACAGAGGCAGATTTGTTGGCTAATATTGGAAAAGATTTAAAAATTCCGAAATGTATGGAGATGGATTCAATAAATATTTTTAATTCAATTAAAACTGATATTTTGTGTAATTATAAAGAAAATTGGAAATCTCGTATGAAAGGAAAAAAGCATGTGTATTTTAATATACAAACAATCTTCCCAGATAAACAATGGTTTAAAAATTTCCAGTATATAGATAGAAGACATATTACAACGTTAATTAGAATGCGTCCAGACCATTGCTTAACAAAAAACAATTTATATAAAATTAAAGTGAAGGAAGATCCATACTGTGAGTGTGGCTCTGTTGAAGACCTAAATCATATCTTTTTAGAATGTCCTATAAATTTATTGTTTAATTTGGATTTATATAAAAAATTTATTGAAATTAATTTTCCTACTCCACTATCAATATTTACAGTTTTGTCTAAGCCAAGTGAAAAATTAATAGAAACTATTATGATATTTTTAAACATTAATAGAATTAAATTATAATGCTCAACTTTCTATTTTTTATTTTCTTTTTGTTTCAGTTTCCGAATGCAGTCTGTTTGTGTGACCTCTACCCTCTGTGCCTTTGTTTGTGATATAATCTTCCTTTCAGCACGTCATTTATATATTTAATAAATAATAATAATAACATTTTAGTCACAGGTTACCTTCATAGAAGTTAGTTATATTCACAGCCATCATAAAAAAAGAAGAAGAAGATATTAGGCTTTCTCTATGGATACAACAAACTACCGCAAGCTTTTGCTAGGATACTCTATTAATTTTAATTGTGTTTTTTTAGACATTGTGATTGATCGTAAACTAAAAAGTATAAAGTGTAATTGAAACCGCTAATTGCGAGGTTCTGAATGAAGCTTTTGTAAGAACTTTTGCTTCAAATATGCGCACATAGTGCACACACATTTTTTTTAATTAATAATTTTATTTTGTAATAAGTTTCCGAAATTATCCTTGCCACGATCCTGCTGTCCAGTATTTAATTTCAAAATACAATAGAAATAGACACAGCGCTAATCGCATAACACGAATACCAACGAAAACGATGAAAATGTAAATACTAAAGCGAACAAAGCCAATAGTGCGGTTAGGTGGAAATTCTTCCCCCACATTTTCCAGCCGCCTCCCCGTATTGATTTTCCTGCCGAAAATGCGATAGGATAGAGACGGGACTTTCCACCTCCGTCGCCAGTCAGCAGCTGTTTTGTGCGAAAACCAGGTCGAGGTGACGTTGTCACGTTTGGAACCGATTAAATTCTCTTTTTTTGGCAAATATCCTATAGCAAAACGGTGCAAAAACACGCGACTAAGATGTAAATTATGGGTTGGTGATTGTCGCTGCGTTCACAAACGACATGGAAGACAGCGGCATAGATAGCGGAGATCATAACGGAGATGGGAATCTGAAACAAACGGTAGTAAATGTTTTTGTTATCTTATAGTTCAATATTGGTTTCTTTAAATACGTGTTTTAGCAAAATAAAACACTAATTCACCACAATACACCAAAACAGTTTACTTTTTCAGTGATTTTCAGTGCAAAAGTAAAGTGTTTTTTTACCTGGTTAGTGTTTTTTGTTCTTGTTACACATCGAATTCAATTAATATGAATGTATTAACGTGAAACTTTCTATATTGTGTTTTATATATAAAATACTAAAAAATGTTTACCCATTTTTTTTCATTGCTTTTATTTTTTTTATTTTAGTAAATTCTTAATTATTTCTTTCTTAATTTTTTTAATTCTTTTTCTAAATAAATTTATTGAAATAATTAAATCTAATGCATAAGCTATACCTATTCTGCTTATATTATAATCAATGAAATTTTTATTGAAATCGAATTATACAGCAAGGTTTTTTTGCATACAGCAAAAGTTTTATTTAATTGAAGTGAAATTTTGTGAGCTTATGTAAGTCAATTTAAAGCATTTTCTAAAATTATGAGAGTTCTACGGGGTGTCCCCCAAAAAAGTTACAAATTAAAGTTATGTTTTTTGTAATAGAACACCCTATATATTAATTGATTTTTGGATTCTAGTATAAAAATAACGGTTTGTTTCATTAGAAAAGTATATAACTGAAATGTATAGTTTTTGAAATACATTCACAGGCATGAAAAATGAGCACCTTAAAACTTTGATGTATTTTAAAGGTTAACATATTTTGTTTTAATGAACCGATTTTGATGATTTTTTAAGGAGTGTGTTGCCAAATTATTTGACTTTTTAGTATCTTTTTCTAAATTAAAAATGAAACTCCCCATCTGTTAATTATACGAGGGAAAAAATGTTGATATTTTGGTACAAGTTTGAAACACCCTGTGGAATATGTTAAAACAGCAATAAATTTAAAAATCATTTTATCATCTAGATACATCCTTTCTCGATGTTTTGTTTTTTGTTCATCTCATTAGTTTTATTTTTGTTGGAAATATTCGTTTTTGAACAAGACACTAACATTTTTTCGTAATTTTTACATTAAGACCATGCCTTTGCTTTTGGGCCTAGTCAACATATCTAGTAAGTTCTGGTCCCGAAGCGGGCCTTCTTGACATAATATTTGCTTCATTTAATCTTCTTATATTCCATTAGTTAATAAATACGTTCCTTACGTGCAATTCATTATCAATTTGAAAAGAATTAGTTACAGAATTCATCTGTGTTTCTTAGCTTGCATATTAAAAAAAAAACAAGTTAAAGAAACATAGATGCTCTCTTATTTCAACCACAACTTTTGAGTGTAGTGGTAATAATAAGAGGGCATCTGTGTTTCTTAATTTGTTTAATACCTCTTTTAGAACATTTACTTTAATTAAATGTACATTACTTTGTTACGACTTTAATAAGCAGCCATCTGTGGATTTTAAATTGTTTACTAATAATTAGTCCAATTTTTGGAAACTTAATCCATTAGTCCATTTACGTGAATTAGAGAACTTGTAATAAACTGTTAAGAAAGACGAATTAAAATTTCTATTACTGCGAAAAAAAGAACATTATACAGGGTGAGTCTTAAATAAGTGCAAATATTTTCAGGGCTGGTAGATCTCGATAAAAGAAACATATTTTCTCTTTATCGTTTATCAAATAAGTCCAAAATAACCTAGATGTTTTACTTTGAAAATTTAAAAAAAATTATTTTTTGCTTAAGTTTTGAGAACCATTGGATCTTTTCGGCTGTCATTTTTGTAAATTTAATCTACTATCTATGTAGCCATATTATAAATACACCATTAAGTTTTTTAACTAAAAATAAAAAAAAACTTTTTATAACCTTAAAAAAATTCCAAATTTTCATTTTTTTTTGTAAAGAAAACCTCACACTCCAATAGTAATAGATCTATTATACTATAGTGTACAGGGTGGGTCAAATTCGACGCTTTTAAATGGAAACAACCTTTCCTATAGGAGATAGACAAAAACTAATATCGGTGTCTGGAGCTCAATTTTTGTCAAAAACATGATGGTGAAAACCGCATATCGATATCTGTTACCGTTTCGGAGTTACGGGGTGTTTTTCAAAAATATGCATTTTTAACAAATCGCTGTAACTTTTTTGCTTTATATTTTTATGAAAACATTTTTACGTAGAATTTAATGGTTTAAGTATAATTTTTTTAAAATTAATAATTTAAGAATTATCAACAGAAAATTTGATTTTTATATGGGACACCCTGTATATTTTAATTTATTGAAAAGAATTTAAAGTTACCTTTCAAAAAATATAACACACTTGATATTTTGCTCGATTCCTCTTCGAGATATAGAGTATATAAAAATTCGCCCGCTTTAAATAAGTAGGCTTTGAACGGCACCGGCTGTAATGCAAAAAAATTCTAGCTGTGAGCATCAATTAAAACGAAAATAATATTTTCTATGACAGATGCAGAATTTTATTACAATATAAAATATATTTAACCAACATCAACACATTTAAACTATATTTAATAACAATAAAAATAAATAGCAAACCAAGACATGAGATTTTGCTACAGGTGTTCGACATATCGACCGTCTTCTGTTATGGACAGACGGGGCTTTTTGAACATTTCTCGCGATTTCATTAACTCAGTGGGGGTGAAAGATACCCTCATAATTGCTAAGTGTTTCTAATTTTTGTCTAGATTATACGGAAGAATAAGGAACCTTTATTCTTCCGCAAATATATCCATAGGATTAGATCCATGGCCACTAAGTCAGGCGGCCTCGACGGCCAACGGCTGGGATCTTGGTTAGATATTCAATTATTCTTGAAATTGGCTGTTTGTTTCTAATTCTTGTCTAGATTATACGGAAGAATAAGGAACCTTTATTCTTCCGCAAATATATCCATAGGATTAGATCCATGGGCACTAAGTCAGGCGGCCTCGACGGCCAACGGCTGGGATCTTGGTTAGCTATTCAATTATTCTTGAAATTGGCTGCAAAAATTTGCTGATAACTTCAGCGTTCAGAGGCTGCGCGTCATCTTGCTGGAAAATATGTTTTTGAGTTCCATTAAGCGCATATCATCAATAAGGGGTCCAAAGCCTACTAGTTAAAAGTGGCGAATTTTTAAAAATTCTGTACTTCGAAGCGGATTATAACAAAATATCAAGTGAGCTATATTTTTGGAAAGGTAATTTTAAATTCTTTTCAGTTAATTAAAAATATAGAGGGTGTCCCAAAAAAATCAATTTTTCCGATGATAACTCTTAAATTATTAATTTTAAAAAAATTATACTTAAACCATTAAATTCTGCGTAAAAAGGTGATTTGGAAATGCTTTCATAGAAATACAAAATTTTCCACAGTAAAAAAGTTACAGCGATTTGTTAAAAATGCACATTTTTGAAAAACACCCCGTAACTCCGAAACGGTAACAGATATTGATGTGCGGTTTTCACCATCATGTTTTTGATGAAAATTGAGCTCCAGACACCGATATTAGTTTTCGTCTATCTCCTATAGAAAAGGGTGTTTCCATTTAAAAGCGTCGAATTTGACCCACCCTGTACATATGGTATGCCCACGGAATGTTGGAACATCCTGAATATTCCTTTGGTAGATAGTGTATTTATAGAGATCCATAATTTCTATTTAACTTTTATATCTGCTTTTATTAAGTACAGAATTTTAACAAATGAAAAAACAAAGATAGTTTGTACTTCCGTTATGTTATGTGTTTGCTATTTTTTGTTTGGTCTTTTTAATATTTCTGCCAATAATTAAACAGTTTGAGATTGTCAAAACAAAAATTAGAAAAGTTGTGCCTATATTTAGAGCATGATATTAAACTTAACATTTTAAAATGCCTCGTATTCCCAAACGGCTTTGAGAAAATCTAAAGGTTAACATAAACTCATTGCTCTAGTTTCTACGAAGTCATTTAAGAGGTATTATTTAAGTACCTTTGCATATACAGAGTGACCCTGTTTGAACTTGCAATAGAAGTTTCTAGAGAACTAAAATATCTACAGTATGGTCACCGGATTGGTCTTCACCACAGGAAAAACTTTTTTATTATTGACATTATGTGAAAAATGCATTCTTTTTATACATCTTTGCTGGATTTATAATAATTTTTATAAAAGGGGGACATTTTTTTAATTTATTTATTAATATCTCTGAAACTATCAAAACATATTTAATAACATTTTAGAGTTATGTAAACTGATCAGAAGGGAATCCAGAAATGCTTTAATATATAGGGTGTTCCTTGCTACAACTTTTTTTACGACTCTTTCGTTTAAATTTTATGGATCCGTGCTGGCCGCGATTCAATTAAACAAATATTATTCGTAATATATAAAAAACGGAAAAATGTAGAAAAAAATATTTTATTGGGGAGGCAATGTGCACAATTTAAAATTATTTTGAAATATTCGTGTTTCAGAACTGATATCCATACCCATATTTTTTCTTAAGGAACACCCGGTATTTTATTTAATTTTTGGATTCTTGAGCCCAAAAAAAGGCATTTATTATAAGGGTACATATGTTTAAAATCTTTGGTTTATTGAGATATTTAAACATATTTAAATATGCATGCTAAAATACAATAGACTATCAACACCCTGTACATTACTTTTCAGAATTAATTTTTATACTGAGTTTAAAGCTAGAGAAATAAACTTTACTAAAAAATTTGATTTTTTCCTTAAATGTATACAGGGGTGTCAAAAATTGCTGGTCTATTTTAAATATTTATTTTACATGAAAACTTCGTTATTTCAAAAGCACACCCTGTATTTTTTTAAATAAATCAAAGCAGATTCAAATGCTCTTTCAAACTATATTAGGGTTTTCTTAACAAAAAGCGATTTTTCAATAAAATGGCAATCAGGATGGCTGGTGTCGCCATGGCAATTTTTTAGTGACAGTAACGATTTTAAATTTATTTACATTAGTTTAATAAGTAAGTATTCATTATTTTATCAAGAAAAATAAAGCAGTATCTTCGGACGGAACGAATGAATATGTTACTAGTGATTTTATTTTATGAGGAAAATTGCTTTTTGGCTTCAAGAGCTTATGCCCAAAGATATCCAAATAAGAATTTTCCTGATAAGCGTTCCTTTGAAAAACTACTTGTCCTATTTCGCAGAGTGTCGTTTATAAAAAAAACCTATTAGGCAGAAACCTGTGGTTGGAAGTGAAGACAATGAATTTGCCGTAATTGGCTCTTTTATAGAAAATCTATACCGGGTGCGTCTCAAAAGTGACTCGCCTCTATAACTTTTTTATTTTTTCAGATAAAAAAAACGAGATTTGGTATGTTAGTATATGACATAAATTAGGATTGATTGACGTATTCAATTGTTTTTGGTCATTTCCTGTTTCATCGGAAATGACTACAACTTTTGATTTTTAAATGACAACCTCGGTATTTTTTTACTTTATTCGATAGAAAATGACATTCTGAATAGAATAATATCATATGTCAACTTTTGACATTCTCTCTTAATAAAAAATTGTATTTTAAACTTCAATCTAGGGTGCCATGAATACGTTAAAAACACTAATTCTTAATCAAGGAGCATTGGAAAAATAGATTTGGTCGTCTAATGTTTTTAGTGTCTTGTCCTGGCCATTTAGAAAATGCTCAAATCTGATTTAAAGCTTATTAGCATATTTGGAAAAAGCATTTTTTACTAATACTTTGAAACCACACACTTGGTATTTCGAGTCAAATTTTTGTTACGGATCGCAAGTTATAATTTCAAATAAACCATATGCAAAAATGTCAAAAGTTGACATATGATATGTCATTCTATTCAGAGTGTCATTTTCTGTCAAATAAAGTAAAAAAAAATACCGAGGGTGCCATTTAAAAATTAAAAGTTGTAGTTATTTCCGGTGAAACAGGAAGTGACCAAAGACAATTGAATACGTCATTCAATCCTAATTTATGTCATATACTAACATACCAAATCTCGTTGATTTATCTGAAGAAATAAAAAAGTTATAGGGGCGAGTCACTTTTGAGACGCACCCGGTATTGCTGTTTATTTAAATGCGTTTTGTAGTAAATTGTTCACACTCCAATAATGTGGTTGCATTCTTGAAATTTCTTTTATAGACACACAGATCAAGTAGACGTACTTTATAATAATCCACAATTCGTCAACATACGAGACACGTTTTCTAACTGACCGCCGACTTTTTTCCAGCCCAGCGACAGCTCGAGCTCGGGGAGCGGCAGGTCGCCGGCCAGGATGCCCTCGGCCGCGGCCGCCCGCCACATGCAGAGGAAACTGGAGTCGCGCATCGAATGTGCCAAACGACACGCCGCAGACTTTAATCAGACGCCATCGCTCATTCCTATCCAGAGGCTTCCGATACCGGGCGCGAAGGACCACCAGCCGCTGGTGCAGTGGGATACAGACGATAGGCAAGTTAATGGTATATAATAGGTTTGTTCCAACCAGCATTTCGGGATCGTTTCGAAATCGTACTCGAATCGGTTTTCTTGCACTTTGTTAGCATGCACGGACAAAGTTCGGATAGTTTCGTGACGGTACAAAAAGTATCAACGTTGGAACGCTCTGTGGATTGTTTTCGGGACTGTCAAAAGTGTCAAGCGTGCGTGTATCGATCGGTTTTTTGTTTTTGTTTAGAATTTCATAACATAACCCTATTATTAGCCGACCATACCAACAGGTATGATAGGCTATTAAGATCGGCAAAAAAGTTTTTTTTATTTCACTCAAAATGAGTCATAAATGACCTAAATACAAAATATTTTCATGGTGTCTGTCTGTCCGTCTGTCTGTAACACAATAACTCAAAAACCGCTAAACCGATTTTAACCAAGTTTGGCACAAAAATACTGTGGCACCCGAGAATCTGGCCATTAGTTTTTGGTGTGGGGGTGGGCTTTGGTGTGTGGGGGAGGGTATGGGACGGGGTTAAAAATTTAAAAGAATCTCTCCAAAATTACAGTGGCTAGCGAAACGCGGTTTTCAATTTAAGATTAGGAATAAGATTTGCAACAAAATTTGTAATAACATCAAAATCAGTCAAAGTCGCAGTTTTCGAGATAAAAAAAATTGGAAAAATTCCTTTACTTTGAAACTAAAAGAACTGCCTACCATCTTTTTATTAACATATTTTAGTATGGATGGCTATACGTGCCTGCCGGCGCCAATTTTGTTTGTTTGCAATTTGTAATAATAATAATTATTATTCTTGAAATGGAGAATCAGAATCCAGTAATTGTTGGTTAGTGTTGTTTCAACTGTATACTCACTAACTCACTTACCTATCCTCTCTTTTATGATCCTGTTATGCGTAGTTTTCTGTTATTTCATTACCGTGGTAGAATCTTTGAACATTATTTTATAAATAAAAAATTAATTAATATTTCCGAACGATTTACTCCACATAACAAGCAAAAGTATAACGCACACGTATTCGAATTCGTAAAAAACAGTCGGACGCCGGATCAGAATCAGCTGTTAAAAATCGATAATCCCTGCCAATATGCTTTAATGCGCAAGTCAACCCAAACATTTCTCAATTTGGACCATGAATCTGTTACGTTCTGAAATCGTAACTGAACGATCCCAAGGTAGGTTGGTACGCAAATAGGATCGTCCGATAACCGTGAAATCTCGGTTGGAACAATTGGCCATTTGAATTACTGCGCACGGGCGTGATCGTTCGGTGATGGTTCTGCGGCGGGTTGGAACAAACCTAATAATTAATGATTAATTTTAGATTAGATAATATTTTTGTTTCACTTCTGCCTTTACAGATCTATTTTGGTCTTCTTCTAGGTCTCTTAATTCCTTGCGGGTACCATGCTGTAATTTTTGTGCTCCATCTGTTGTCCGTCCTTCTTGCCAGGTGTCCTGCCCATTACCACTTGAGAAATTTGATTCTGTGGATCGCATCTATTATCGTGATCATTTGTCGTATCAATTCTATCCTTTTGCGATATTTTTTGGTTATTTCCAGCATATTCCGTTCCATTGAGCATTGTGTGACTTGCAGTTTCCTTATAATGTTCGTTTTAAGTGTCCAGATTTCACATGCATATGTCATGACTGGTAGTACACATTGGTCGAATGTTTTCTTTTTTAGATAAAGTGGCATTCTAGATTTGAATATGATTGAGTTTCTTCCATAAGTACTCTATGCTAACTACTGTCGATTTCTGGTAGTAGAGAACCCGAGTTGTGTATTAGTTGTTCCAAATATACAGGGTGAGTCTTAAATAAGTGCAAATATTTTATTTCGATATTAATTCGGTATATTTTGACCCCAGGAACACGTCTATGAGTTTTTTTTCTAAAAAAAATCGTGCATTTTCTTTTAAATTTCCCTGCATATTTTTCGAAAACTTTTTAGAACTGCCAGTTTTTTCACCGCAAATTTTCCCACGGTATAATTTCTTAATCTTAATTATCATAGTTACGGCTTTAATCCGGCTTACGGCTTTAATCTTTAATTTGGTTCCGGCACTAAAAGATACGCAAATACAGAAAAAATCCGGTGGCTCTCAAAATTTTTTCACAAAAAAATCATTTTTTTTTATTTTCAAACTTAAATAACCCGGTCATTTTGGACTTATCTGAAAAATGGTAAAGAGAAAATATGTTTCTTTTAGAGATCTACCAGCACTGAAAATATTTGCACTTCACTCACCCTGTATACAGGGTGCTACAAATTCGAGGTACGAGCATTGGTATCTCGGAAACCGTAATAGATACGAAGATAGTTAAATTAGGGCAAAGTTGCGCCTTGGAATGTTCACCAAGATGCAATTAAAATAGTTTCAAAAATTTCAAGAATTGCTGAGTTTTTCGGAAAAATGGATTTTTTTGAAAATCAATTTTATTTTTTCCTGTCGTTACTTTTTAGAAAATCAAAAAACTAATTACATATTCTCATAGGCACTTTATTAGGGCTATAAGATAGTATTTTTAGATTTTCAAATTAGCTGATAATATATAAGATATAGAGGCTAACTTATTTTTTTTAAATACGGACCTGCAAACAAAACTATTTAATTATTATTTAAAATAATTTCAAGCCCGACTCTGGTTTTTTAAAATGTTTAATCTGATTATATTCATCGCAACAATATTGATCAGCGCTAATTATTAACATTGAATAAGGAAAATCGAGCCAACTGAAAAATTCAAATAAATAAAAACCAGGTCAGCAATTTATAGATATCTTTTTAAAATTTGAACATTTTTTTATTGTGAATTTGAGATCTCAGTGTACGATCTAATAATATGCATAATATTAAACGTAGTTATTATAAATAAATCAACTTCTACAAACTAGTTCCCAATGCTCTACATGTTTGAAAGGGTTACCGCTCTCTCTATTGCATAAATTTATAAATCGTTAATTATTTACAGTTCTTGGAACATATCTTCTTCTTATACTTCCGAATGCATTTTGTACTCTTTACTCTTTCTTGTAAATGTTGAAAAATATTGATTTTGTTTGGATTTTTTATTTTTTATTGCATTTTATTTTCCGTCTTCAATGTTTTACCCAACGTCATTTTAAGTTTGAAGGCTTATCAATATTGTAACCATGAAAAGATTAAATATTAAAAAAAACAGAGCCGGACTTGAAATTAGTTTAAATAATTTGTGTTCAAATGTCCGAAACAAAAAAAAATATAGTGTGGCACATCATTGTACTCAGGAGACCGAGTTCTTTCAAAAACTGAAATAAAACATGCAGGTCCGTATTTAAAAAAATTAAGTCGGCCTCTGTATCTCAGACAGGAAAAAATAAAAAATTGAAAAAAATTCGTTTTTTCCAAAAAACTCAGCAATCCTTGAAATTTTGAAAACTTTTTTGATGGCATCTTAGTGAACATCCCAAAGCGCAACTTTGCACCAATTTAACCATGTTCGTATCTATTACGGCTATCGAGATACCAATGCTCGTACCTCGAATTTGTAGCACCCTGTATATTTTTCTACTATTTCCAGTGTTATTTATTAGAATGTCTTTTCTGTCTACTAGTTCGTTGGACATTACTTTAGTTTTTGTTAAATTGATTTTGAGACCTACTTTATTGCTGGCTGTATTTAGTTTGTTAATTTGTGCTTGCAGTTCTTCAGGACTATTGGCAATTAGGACTATGTCATCAACGAATCTTTTTTTTTTTTTTTTAGAGGAGGAGGAAATCTTGCATAAGACGGAGTGTCAGATTCCTACTGACTAAAACCACCTCCCCTTCTCTACGACACATCACGCCGGTACCGCTTTCGCATTTCTTCGACGTGAGGACTGTCTACGTATTTCTACGTGCTTCTTCCTCTTTAGTTTTTATGATTCCTTTTATCACTGTATAGGCCAGAGTCCAGTTTTTTTCTCCTCCTTTCAGGCTATTCATCATAGTTTCTGCTGTAAAAGGAATGCTTATAGCTATATAGTACTGATGTCTTAACACCGACCATCTTGGACATTCGAACAAGGTATGTTGAGCATCATCTAACTCGTTACAGTATACACAGTGGTTTGTTGGTGATTTCGTTCGGTTAAATAGAAAACTTTTGAAACACCCATGGCCCGACAGGGTCTGCGTGGTATAATAATCTACTTCACCATATAGCCTCTCTATCCATTCTCTAATATTAGGAATTAAACTATACGTCCACCATCCATACTTGCCGTTGACCCATTCTTCTTGCCATTTTATCCATAGTTTACTTCGAGCTACAGTTTTCAAAGTTCTTGGTAGGTTTCAACTCGTTCTTGAACCAAGAGATGCATTGGGGGTATACCCGTTATAACGCGAACAGCCTCTGCAGAAATGGTTCTGTAGGCACTACTGACTCTTATAGCCGCTGTACGCTGTATACTGTTTATTTTCTGTCTATATTTATTATTTTCCATTGCCTTGTACCATATAGGTGCAGCATATAGAAGTTGGGAGTGAATGACCCCCACTAGAACCCTTCTCTTAGAAGCTCTTGGTCCAGCGGCATTTGGAAGTAGACGCGACAGTACAGCTAATGTTTTGCTTGCTTTGGTTACCGTTTTATCAATGTGCTCGCCAAATTTCATTTTGGTATCAAGCCATACTCCTAAGTATCTAATGGTTTTGCTGAGTTTAATTTCTACGTCTTCAAGGTTAAAATGTATTTCTGAAATTTTCCTTTTGGTTGTCAACAAAACTGCCTCCGTCTTGTGTGGGGCTAATTGAAGTTTATTTTTTTTTCATCTAATTTAAGACTCTAATCAAACTAGTGTTGGCAGTGTTCATCAGTGCCTCTTCAGTTTTTGCAACTACCACCATTGCCAGATCGTCCGCAAATCCAATTAGTTTGGCACCCTCAGCCATTTTTGTCTCAAGAAGGTCGTCGTATAAAATATTCCACAGGGTGGGACCCAGTACCGAGCCCTGTGGTAGCCCACTATTAATCTCCACAATTTTAGCCTGGTTATCTGCTTCTAGTATCAACTTCCTGTCTGATAGATATGATGCGATAAGTCGCATTAATCTCTTCTCGATGCCTCTCTTTTTTAATCTATCCAGAATAATTTGCCAGGATGCGCTATTAAATGCGTTTCTTACATCTAGAGTTATCACATCACATAGCTTTCGTTCAGCAGATAGCTTTCAATTCAGCAATTGCTCCAACCGTTTGTCTGCCTTTTCTAAAACCAAACTGATAGTTTGAGAGCCCTCCTGTTCTATCTAGTTCTTCATTCAGTTTATTTAGTATCAAGTGCTCATATAGTTTACCCTGTGTATCGAGAAGACTAATCGGACGGTAGGCTGCTGGACTTCGAATTCTACTTTCACTCTTTTGAAGTAGGATCAGCTTTGATTGTTTCCATTCCTCTGGGAAGATTTGTGCCATTACTAGTCTATTATATACTTTTAATGTATATTCTGGTAGGTATAAAACTGCTTCTTTTAGTATCTCAGTGGGTATAATGCTTGGTCCTGGAGTTTTGCCATTTTTAAGTTTATTACAAGCCGCCAGTAGCTCGTCCTTATTAAAGCTTAGTATTCTATCAGAGATCGTTATATTATTATCACTATTATCACAGTTTACGGTTTGATTTATATCACAGATGTTGTTATCACAGAAGTTATCACAGACTTTTGGGTGTATAGGGAAGAGATAAGCTACTACTTCTTCCGTACAATCCATATCCAAATTTGGTCTTGGTTGAAAGCCATCTCATTGCTATTTTGTAACCATTCCCAAAAATATCTCTGTCAAGATCTTCGCATAGATTCTTCCAACTTTTTTGTTTTGATCTTTTAATCGCATTTCTAAGATCTTTTTTGGATTTTTTATATTCTTCCCAGAGTTCGCTTAATAATGGTAGGCTTTTGTGCGCTTGTCTTCTATATGATCTTCTCTTCCTTAAGCACTGACTTCTAAGATTCGCAATCTCCTCATTCCACCAATATACCGGTTACCCTCTTTTGCTCTTTTTCTTCTTTGGCATTGTTCTATCACAGATTCTGGTTAGTAGTTCATTGAAACATTTGACGCTGGTACTTTCAGACTTTTGGTCAATTTTCCTTAATTCGTCTTTTAGCTTTTGTTTATTTAGTTTATCAACACGCCAGCCCCTGTTATAAGTTTTAATACTTTTTGTTTGTACATTGTTAACACATTCGAACGTTATCTACTGATGATCGCTGAGGGACTCTCTATCCATAACTGCCCATTTTTGTATATTAACATTTCAACGTATATTAACATCAACGAATCTTAGATTGTCAAGTTATTCTTCATCTATTTTTTATCCTTTGTAGATCCAGTCCAGTTGACGGAAGATTTCATCTAGTTCTGTTTGGGGTATTTTTCCTCCGTTCATTTGGCCTCCCTGTCGTACTCCTTTGCCAGTTGGGAACTCTGGGGTTGTTCTATATATCATTATATGCTCTTGGTTTCGCTCTTTGTATAATATTGGCGAGAGTTTCTATGTAAGGGCCATCAATACGTTGTTTCGCTAGGGCTTCTATTATTGCCTTAGGATATATCCAATCGAAAGTCTCTTCAAGTCGAAACTCTTCTCAATCTTGAATAAGCATTGGTAAAACCACGAATTGAATAATTTTAAATTTAAGATTTGGGTTATTAAGTTAAAGAAAAAGTGGTTAGGTGGTGGTTGATCTGTCTAAATGAACCGATTGGATATTACATAAAAGAGCAAAAAAAAATACGTTTGTTGAATATTGCCCAAATTTTTGTTATTTTAAATTATTCAACCCAATGTATATTTTTAAAAAAATCAAAATATTAATAAAGTTGACGTACTTTTTATCCACTTGGAAAATCGAGTTTTATATTGTGTGAAAAAAATACGTCATTGCATGTTTCAATACCGACTATATCTAATTTTCTGATGTTGTTTTAGTGAGGAAGACATCGTGAATTTCTTCCCCTTATCCAGAAAGGAATCCAGAATGCACCAGGAACTGACAGACACCTTCAGCATTGAGGAGATGAGCATATCAGGCGATGACGACGACGAAGACGACCTACATTTAGTGCCACCGCAAACAGTATATAAGAGATTCGATTGTTGTCCGTTTAACTTTTGTGTTATACTATAATCTAATATGTCACATTTAATAGATAAATACATTTTTTAATAGAAAGCGATATGTGTAGTATTTTTTGTACAAAGTCTGTCCAAATTGTGAAGAGTTCAAAAATTGATAGTAAATGCAATTTACCGGTAAATTAAAATCAGGCAGCAATAATTGTTAGTGTCATATATTCTCTCCCGTTGGACAGACTTTAGTACACGTGAATATTAGGGTGATTAAAAAAAATAAAAAATAAAATTTTTTCTTGTAAACAGGCTCAAAAGTTTCAATTTGACTTAAAAAGATACCACTTAAAATGTGAGCCCTTAATATTAATATTAAGACTGTCCACATCACGTTTTTCTATTTTCCATAATGATACCATGGAAAAATTTTGTTCTGCACCATATGAATTTTATTGCTAGCCTGTCGTGTATCATAAAAAATATCCTTTTACATACTTTTACTTACTAAAAAAACATGTTTTATTTAGAAATATGTAATAATTATTTTTTCCCAATATGCGATAAGTATTTTGAGTAGTTTATTAAAATAAAAATGATTTATTTAGTTAAAAATAAAAATAAACTGCCATAATCAATTTTTCATTCTATGGCAGTGTGTAGCTCTTGAGGGTACCTATTCTTGACATCGTTCGCAACTTTGCGTATAGGCATCACGTGTATTGTTATATGGAGTTTTCGGAGATGCGAGCGATATTTGAAGATGCGAGTGGTCAAGAATAGGTACCCTGGATTGTTGGTTCAAGCCAAATTTAGGTAGTAAATCCCAATAAATACAGAAATCCCTATAAATACAGAAATCGAGAACGGACAAATTCGGGGACCAAGAAAATGCATTTTCTACAAAAACTTGAAGGGATAGGTAAAAAATGGTATAATACAATTTGATAGACAATTTAATTGTGCATCTGATTCTCCTAAAATATACATTCACATATGGGCATTCCATTTAAATTAAAGAAGTTATTGCCGTTTGAAGTTAATAATTATTTAAAATAAATTTTTAGACACTCTGTATAAGGTAGTATTATTTTTATTATTGCAACACAATAACTGATCAATAAATAAACTTCATTAAATATTTAGTATTAAAAACATTGATACCCTTGGAGAAATGCTTAAAAGCTTTAAAATTTTTACTGCAATTTCACAAAATTGAAAATATTTCAAAAACGGTAAGGTTTAAGTATAATAAACCTTAATCAAATTTACCTTTATTTTAATCGTAGAAACTAAAAATGTAATAATATACAGGGTGTTCCATTTAAGAAAATACAACTTTGACATTTTTTATTTATTTGTGACACTCTGTATCTTGTAAAAATATTTTTAAATTGTAGCTCTAATAGTCCTTCAACGAACCCCAAACTTACAATTTGTAAAAATCTCATCGTTTAGCTACAATACTCCGTGTCGTATGTGGTGAACAACCCTGTATGTTTTGACAAGACTTTGACAGTTAAAATAATAAATTACAATAGATTATATATTAATTATTATATGATTTGAAAGACCACGGCACTGGAATTAAGTTTTATGTGACCTTGAACAGATTAGTTCACATGGTAGCGACCGATGAGTCACTCCCAAACATTCGTGGGGTTTACTATAGCTAATTTGCTACAGCAGTATATACTTTTAATAATTCTTAAGTTTCTTTTATTATCAATCATGACCTACTACTAATAACAATTATCTTTTAACGAAAACTTTTAAATATTGTAGTAAATAGTGAAAATAAATATACCGGGTGCGCCTCGAAAGTTGCTCACCCCTATAACTTTTTACTTTTTCAGATAAAAAAACGAGATTTGGTATGTTAGTATATGACATAAATTAGGATTTATTGATATATTCAATTATTTTCGGTCACTTCTGATTTCACTGGAAATGACTACAACTTTTGATTTTTAAATGGCACCATCGGTATTTTTTTACTTTATTTGATAGAAAATTACATTCTGAATAGAAACTTTTGACATTCTCGCTTAATAAAAAATCGTATTTTAAAATTCAATCTAGAGTGCCATGGCTATCTTAAAAACACTAATTCTTAATCAAGGAGCCTTGGAAAAATGGATTTGATCGTTTAATGTTTTTAGTGTCGTATCCTGGCCAGTTAGAAAATGCTCAAATCGTATTTTTAATAATATCTCAATTTTTTCAAATAGAACGAGGGTAGCTCATTAGCATATTTGGAAAAAGTATTTTTTTACGAATAATTTGATACCACACACTTGGTATTTCGAGTCAAAATTTCGTTATGAACCGCAAGTTATAATTTCAAATAGACCATATGCAAAAATGCCAAAAGTTGACATATGATATGTCCTTTTATTCAGAGTGTTATTTTCTACCGATTAAAGTAAGTAAAAAATACAGAGGGTGCCATTTAAAAATGAAAATTGTTGTCATTTCCGGTGAAACAGGAAGTGACCGAAAACAATTGAATACGTCAATCAATCCTAATTTATGTCATATTCTAACATACCAAATCTCGTTTATTAACTGAAAAAATAAAAAAGTTATAGGGGTGAGCCACTTTTGAGACGCACCCGTTAGAGTGATGTATATTTTTAAGAAGCTTATGGCAAGTCAAATCATATAATTTATAAATATACAGGGAGTTCCATTTAAGCAAAACTTAATTTTTGTTCATATCTTAATAAAAATATTATTTTCGTGGAATAACGGACTACGTCACTGTATTTTATGTAAAAAGTTCTACAGTAAACAGTTTTCACCTTCTCGACACCTTTCACAATAACAGATATACAGGGGGTTTCCCAAATTGCAACATTTTCAAAAAGACCCCGTAGCTCAGAAACAAAGAGGGCTATGAAAATTTTGTTTACGGCATCTTCAGTTTGACAAAAAAGTGGAACAGATTTGTGCAAGCCGCACACTTCTATCTTCACTAATAACGGAGATACCGTATGATTTCAACTAAAATGGGACACCCTGTACTGTTATTAATATCTATTAAATATCACACACCATTTTTTTTACTAGTGTGGCACCTCGACGTCTAGAAATAAATATTATAAACTATTTCTATGCTCAAGTTATTATTTTTTAATATCATTACATCACAATAATAAATCGAAAATATATTAATAACCCATTGAAATAAGTGGAAAATATAATTGTATAAAACGTAATTATGTAAAATAATAGGATTGTTTTACAGGAAATTTTCGGTGTCTAATCTCTACGCCGCGAAGCGTGAAAAATTGTTCCAATTTCGACACGGCAATTTGTTTTTTTTTCGGATTTCCTTCTAAATATTTGCTGACGACGATGATTTTAATTTTTCGATTATTATATATACCGGCTATCGAAATGTGTCCCCGTTCATTTCGCATCAAAAATGTCTGTGAAATTATTTGTCGTGTTTTTATTTATGATGGTACGTATATATTATTTTATTGCATTCATTTTTATTTAGTGATAATACACTCACCGGCACCTTAAAATTTTCATGTATTTTTATAAGTTTAATATATTTTGTTTACTTGTGGGTTGATTTTGGTGTCTTTTTAAGCAATTTGTAGCTTAATTATTTGGCTTTTTAGTAGCGATGGGAACTATCGAATGAATTAGACTATCGAATGGTTACTAAATGAATGATTTCAGCTATCGAACCAAGTAGCATTTTCACGACTTGCGACCACATGTTTACTAAACACAACGTTGGATTAGTTACAAAAAATAGTTAGCTCTCTACCTTGGGTATTAAAATAAATTTAAACGTTTTTATAACGTTGGGCCGACGTTGGACTAGTACTACAGCAAAGTAGAAGCTTCTGCGACGTCGAATAAACGTTGTCTTGTAACCTTTTTTGCTTAAGTGATCTTTAGGTGATTTGGACAACGTAGTTACAACGTTGGATAATATAGAGTTTTCCGACGTCAGTTTCAGGACCTATTCCAACGTTATGCAAACGTCGTCTGTTTTACTAATTCCAACGTTGTTTAGATTTCCTTATTCTTACGTTGGTAGGACGTAGAGTCACTACCTTTTTGCAACTGTATTGAACCATAACCTTAAATCTTAAATTTTCAATTCATTGTTCTGTTCAGTCAGACAGTTCAGTGCTGTTTTTGTTTTTATAAAAAAAAAACTTAATTAAAATGGGACATAAGAAAGGTACATATAAAACTAAATTTAAATATACATCGACATATATTACCGACACTTCCTCGTTTATTTAGATTATAGAGGGCGGCACAAGCTAGACTCTAGAATGACTAAATTAGGCAATCTTGCGACTAGTATACTACCTGTTAAGGCCGAACTGCGACTTTATTAGTCCAGTATGCGACTACTCGAACTACTCCATCTTAATCTCCAAAACAACAAAGTTAAAGCCGCCATGTTGTTAAATAAGAAAATGTTTCGTTCTTAAAATAGCAATTCCTGCTTTTTGAATACATTAACTTGAAATATTTGACCCTAAAAAATACGCGGAAACAATTTTTTCGAATGCGAATAAATTATTCTCATTTTACTAAAAAAAAAATTCAAGAAAATTTTTAAAACTTCTTTAATTTCAAGGCCCATTAGTATTTTTTAAAGTAGAAACAATACATTTATCAATAAAGTTGTTTGCGTTTAACTTTTTACCTTGGGTAACGAGTTACAGAGTCGGTTAAAGTGTTTCAATAATTATGATCTTCAAACATCCTCCACACTTAAATACTTTTGTTTTGTTTTCCTTCACTGCCATCTGACATATGTCTCTAACTAAATTATAAATATAATATTTTTACTATAATTATCCCAATTTAGGATAAAACGCGACTTAGACGCCATATTAGTTTTGTATTTCTGTGAATTAGGATTTTAAACAACGTTGCAGTTTGTACTAAATTAGGCTTCTAGCCAACGTCGGTATCCAACGTCGTTTCGACCCAAAAATTATTCTCCAAACTAGTGCAGACCAGGGGGGTGACAGTGAAATAGGAAAATTGGAAACAGTCATTAGTGTCATTCCTGTCATTCTCCTCACGACAAGTATGGCCGCCTAGACAAGGACAGCAT